CGTATAAGCAACACTAAAGGGACCAAGCATGTGGTATTTATTTAATAACTCATTATATATGCAACAATAATAATGAATAAAGAAGAGGCAATGAGCTTGAGAAGGACTCAAGGGGGTATAGGAGGAGATGGAGGGAGGAAATGAAGTAAATGCAGTATCCATATGCAAAATTTAAGTCAAATGTCCAGAGTGTTAGAGTATTTATCATGTTTCACTACTTTTCTGTTAAACTGTAAGACTTATTATTATATCCAGGTAATAGGTAGGCATAATTGTATAAAAAGTAACATTTATTAAATAATGACATTTTAAAAAATGGACCTGAGGGTTGGGGATTTCAGCATAAGGCCCTCAGTTCAGTCCCAGGAAAGAAGAACAATTAAGTAGATGATGGACCCTGTTATCTAAGTGGGAACAAAGAAGAAATGAGGACATAGTAATAAGACAAGTACTGTTGCTATGTATAAATACTAATTTATAGGTTATGTGAGTTCCTATTTAGAGTCTTTGCCTATTTAATAAGTCATTTGTCTTTTCCTTACTAACCTATAGAATTCCTTATGCTTTCTGAACCCCTCTATTTTCTTAGTTGCAAGTAATTTTATTATGTTTGTGACCATCATCATCATCATCATCATCATCATCATCATCATCATCTCATGGTCATCATCAGTTCATGTAGCCCAGGCTGGCCTGGAACTCTTTGTGTAGCTGAGGATGATCGTGAACTTCTGATCTTCTTGCCCACATTCTCTAAGTGTTGAGATCATAGGCACGCATCATTACACCTAGTTTATGGGGCGTGGTTTGAATCCAGTGCTTTGCGCATGCTAGGCAAGCACTAGCAACTGAGCCACTTCTCCAGCCTTTATTTTTCATTTCTAGAATGACTTAATTTACTGTACAGATACTATCAACTTCACCAAATCTTATGTTTTCTGCTTAAAACAACATTTTTGTTTATGATTTTTTAAAAACTCCCTTTTCACAGTGAGATCACAAAGTTATTCTAGATTTTCTTCAGAACATTTTAAAGTTTCATTATTCCATCCTTTATGTCTTCTGGAATTTACTTTTGTGCATAGTATGAACTAGAGTTTATTTAGTCTTTGACTTTCTACAACTGATTTCTGCCCCCATCCTTTTCACAGAAAATGCGGGTTCATTTTTTTCCACATTCTAGGTAACTGTACTCAGTCCTTATTTTCTGTTTTACCTGGGTTTTCATTAGCAGTTGACATTTTTCTGCAGCTCTCTCATCCTAGAAGCAACTTGTCATGGTTTCTTTTTATTTATTTGTTTATTTATTTTACTTGTTCTTCTCTAATGCAATACATATGACTGCAGCTTTCCCTACCTCACTCCTCCCAGTCCCCCATGCTACTTCTTCTCTCCTCCACTCCTCCAGAGGGTTACCCTGCTGTCAGTCTGGAGTCAGTGAGCTCCCACTAGCTCGTATCAGCTGTTTCTGTGGGTATCTCCATCAAAATCATGACCTCTTTGCTCCTCCCTGTCTTCAGCTGGACTCTGGGAGATCAACCCAGTACTTAGCTGTGGATCTCTGCATCTGCTTCCATCAGTTTCTGGATGAAGGTTCTGTGATGACAATTAAGGTAATCATCAACCCGATTACAGGGGAAGGCCAGTTCAGGCTCTCCACTCTTGCTTAGGATTTTAGCTGGGGTCATCCTTGTGGATTCTTGGGAATTTCTCTAGTGTCAGGTTTTTTGCTAGCCCCATAATGGCTTCCTCAATCAAGATTATCTCTTTCCTTGCTCTTACCTCTGTTCTTCCCCCATCTCAACCATCCAGTTTCCTCCATGTTCTCCTCCCCACTCCCCTTCTCCCCTTCCCTTCTGCCCTCTCTTCTTTTCCACCCCCATGGTGCCAATTTTCTCAGGAGATCTTGTCTATTTTCCCTTCCTAGGGGATCCATGTATGTTTCTTTTAGGGTTCTCCTTGTTACCTAACTTTTCTGGAGTTGTGGATTATATAGCTGGTTATCCTTTGGTTTATGTCTAATACCCACTATGAGTGAGTACATACCGTGTGTGTCTTTCTGGGTCTAGGTTACTTCTCTGAGCATGTTTTTTTTCCTAGTTCCATGCATTTCCATGCAAATTTCAAGATGTCATTGCTTTTAAGCACTGAGTAGTACTCCATTGTATTAATGTATCACATTTTCTTTACCATTCTTTGGTTGAGGGGCATCTAGTTTGTTTCCAGTTTCTAGCTATTATGAATAATGCTCCTATGAACATAGTATGTGGTCCTTGTGGTATGAATGTGCACCCTTTGGGTTTATGCCCAAGACTGGTATTATTGGGTCTTGAGGTAGTTTGATTCCCAATTTTCTGAGAAACCTACATACTGATTTCCAAAATGGTTGTCCAAGTTTACATTCCCACCAGCAATGGAGGAGTGTTCCCTTACACTGCATCCTCTACAGTATAAGTTATCATTGGTGTTTTTAACCTTAGCCATTCTGACTGGTGTAAGATGATATCTCAAAGTCATTTTGATTTGTATTGCCCTGATGGCTAGGATGTTGAACAATCCCATAAGTGTCTTTAGGACATTTGAGATTCTCCAGTTGAGAATTTTCTGTTTAGTTCTTACCCCATTTTTTAAACTTTTTTTTTTTTAGCATTTTAATGTCTAGTTTTTTGAGTTCTTTATATACTTTGGAAATTAGTCCTCTGTCCGATCTTTTCCCATTCTGTAGGCTGCTGTTTTGTCTTATCCTTTGCCTTTAGAAGCATCTCAGTTTCAGGAGGTTCCATTTATTAATTGTTGCTCTCAGTGTCTGTGCTACTGGTGTTATATTTAGGAAGTGGTCTCCTGTAACCATGCGTTCAAGGCTATTGTGTTCTTTCTCTTCTATGAGGTTTTTTTTGTGACTGGATTTATGTTGAGGTCTTTGATCCATTTGGACTTGAGTTTTATGCATGGGGAGAGAAATGAATTTATTTGCATTCTTTTACATGTTGACAGCCAGTTATGTCAGCACCACTTGTTGAAAATGCTTTCTTTTTTCCATTGTATAATTTTAGCTTCTTTGTCAAAAATCAGGTGTTATTAGGTGTGTGGAATAATATCAGTGTCTTTGATTTGATTCCACTGGTCCACATGTCTGTTTTTATGCCAATAGCAAGTTGTTTCCATTTCTATAGCTCTATAGTTGAGCTTGAAGTCAGAAATGGTGATGCCTCTAGAAGTTTCTTTCTTGTACAGGATTGTTTTGGCTATCTTTTTTTCCATATGAAGTTGAATATAGTTCTTTCAAGGTCTGTGAAGAATTGTGTTGGAATTTTGATGGGGATTGCATTGACCCTATAGTTTTTGGTAAGATTGATATTATGTGGATCCTACTGATCCAAGAGCATTTTCTGGTATCTTCTTCAATTTCTTTCTTTAGAGACTTAAAAAGTTCTTGTCGTTCAGGTCTTTACTTCTTTGGTTAGCATTACCCCAAGATATTTGTAACACGAGGGCCGGGCTGCTTGTTGGGGTTTCTGTCCAGCTGTTTAGTCCCAGAGAAAATCACACAGAGATCTCCATAAGTTATAAAACTGATTGGCCCATTAGCTCAGGCTTCTTGCTGCGTACATGCAGACACATAGAAGAAAATAAAACTAAAACAAAGAACTGGACCTATTATACCCTGCTGCTAGCTTTCAAAGAACGTGATCAGAGTGCACAAAGCTTCACAGAAATAATGACTGAGCTATCTTTCTCTCCTTAAGTGCATCTATGGCAATTCTTCAAGGCTTCATGTTTAGAAGATCTGGACCTCACGAAGGAGTCTGCGAAGGGGGCATAAGAGAGAGAGAAAGAGGAGAGGCAGTATCCTGTAGTGTCTCAGAAGACAAAGGAGATGTTTCAGGATGAAGAGTATGGCCAGCACCGTATACACAAGACCTGGGTAAATAAACCCAAGCCTTTAATGTGTTCACTGAGTTTTGTGATGAGGAAGTTCAATAAAGCAGGTGGTGGTGGCAATGGCTGAACAAGACCACAGTCTTTTTAAGAAGAAAGTGAGTGCCAGGCGGTATTGGCACAGGCCTTTAATCCCAGTATTTGGGAGGCAGGGGCAGGTGGATCTCTGTGAGTTCAAGGCCAGCGTGGTCTATAGAGCTAGTACCAGGACAGGCTCCAAAGCTACACAGTGAAACCCTGTCTCGAAAAACCAAAAACAAACAAACAAACAAATAAATAAATAAAGTGATAAACAAGGAAGAGGAAATGGGTTAATAGGAAATCATTTCTTCGGGAGAGCAGAAGAGGACAGATATGAGGACAGGCTCCTCCCTTCCTTCTTCAGACCAGGTAGAGTGTGTCTCTACCCAGTCCAGATGCCTACCTGCCGGTCTTCCTTGGAGTGTGGAGTGGCTTTAGGGCACTAGATTCCAAATGGAGAAAATCCCACGAAGCACAGCAGCTTCCCTCAGTCTCCGCATCTGAGAAACAGTAAACAGCGAACGAATGGCCACAAACACAGTCATGGCTCCCAGGGCCAGGCAGCAGCTATGGTACTGCGCATAACGGTTATTTCGAAAAGGTTGCCAATCTGTGTCGCTGGGCTGTATCGTTCTTCGTGAAGAAGCCCACAGGGGAGAATCGACCCTCACACCTCGGCACTTTCTACACTCACTTTCCACACTTCCTGGGAACCGTGCTGCCCTTAGCGTCATTTTGCAGGACTCCACACTCACAACCTCTTCCCAAGGCGGCTTTAGGTCTGGGTGGTCACAGCCTCGGGCGCCCCAACGTCCAACTTCCGGCGAGGGAGGCGCGCGCACGCGGAGTTCAGGTTCCCACCCTGCACGCGGAGTCCAGGTTCCCAGCGGCAGCGCTCCCGGTTCTCAAGGTTCCGGGGGTGGGGTGGGGGGGAGAACCGTGGCGCTCGGGGCTCAGGCGGTTGCTGCTGGCGTGGCCCAGGCGCCGACCTGCGACCCTGTGCGGTGGCCCCAGCGGTCGTGGCCGCTGCAGCGGGGGTCATGCTGTGCTGGTTGCGGGGCTTCGTGCTGCCCTCTGTGGCCTGCCAGAGTGTCTATACCCAGTTGGCCTATGAGATCCTCTTCGAAGACCTGGACCGCAATGGGGATGGTGTGGTGGACATTGTGGAGCTCAGAGATGGGCTGAGGAACTGGAATTCCGCCTTTGATTCCAACTCAGAAAAGGTGAGCCACGGAGGGAGAGCATGTGGCCCTGCGCATGCTGGAAAGACATTGTAGCACTGAGCGGACCCAACCTGCGACCCTGGCCCTTTCAGAATTTTTCCAGAGCTTTCCTAAGCTTGTGGAGCAGGAGTGGAATCCCCTTTTGTTGGATTTTTTTTTTTTAATATTTATTTCAGAAGCGGGCACCAGACCTCATTCCAGATGGTTGTGAGCCACCATGTGGTTGCCGGGAATTGAACTCAGGACCTTTGGAAGAACAGGCAATGCTCTTAACCACTGAGCCATCTCTCCAGCCCTTTTGTTGGATTCTTCATGCAGAATAACACAGCCACAGTGAAACATGTCATCATTCTCAAAATAGTCGTTATCTGTAGTGACAAAACCGCCCTGGCATTTGAAGGAGATTCTGGGGTTCTGAACATTTCCTGTTCAGAAGGGTCAGGACTGTGCTAGCTTTTGTCCAAAGTAAGCCTGTTGTTCTCAAGGGGCTTTCAGCCTATGGGAGCTTGTCTTAGGAACTGTATGCAGATGAATATTCCAGAACTGGTGTCTTTGACTTAACAGTCCCCAAATCCAAGGCAAGCCAACAGACTTATATTTTATTAGTATCTTTCATAAACTAGGATTTTTATGAAAACTAGGTCCACTATCCCAGGGCCCATTTCTAGTCTCCTGGTCTACAGGTGCTCCAAGTTAAACACACTAGTCAAAAGATTTGTGGCGCCAATTGCGAGAGAGTAATCTTTCTGGGTCTGGGTTAACAAAGTAATATTCTAAAAGACAGTTCCGTTCATTTACCTGCAAAGTTCATGAGTTCATTTTTCTTTATGACTGAACAAAATTTAGTTGTATATATGCATCACATTTTCATTATCCATCCATCCGTTGCTGGACATCTAGGCTGTTTTCATTTCCTAACTATTTTGAACAGAGAGGTGATGAACATGGCCCAACAATTGTTTCTGTGGTAGGATATAAAGTCCTTTGAGTATATACCTGTTGAGTAATATAACTGGCTCATATGGTAGATCTATTTATAGCCTTTTGAGGATTCTCCCCTGACACTGATTTCCATCCTGGTGGCTTTAGTTTCCAGTCTCACCAGTAGCAAATGAGGGTTCCCCTTTCCACTCAATGTCACCAACAGTTGTTACTTGCTTTCTTGATGATAACCACGTTGATTGGGGTGCAATGAAATCTCAATGCCATTTTAACTTCTATTAATTTGATAGTTCAAGATGTTTAACACTAATGATTTCTTAGCAATATGCATTTCTTCTTTTGAGAACTCTGTTCAGTTCATTGCCCTATTTTTAAATGGACTTGTTTGGTTTCTTGAGTTTTTTGTATATTTTAGACACTAATCTTCTATCAGATGTATAGCTGGCAAAGATTTTTTTTTCCTACTCAATAGCCTGCCCCTTTAGTTGCTTAACAGTTTGCATTACAGAAGCCTTTTAATTTCACAAAGACCCATTTGTCAATCATTGACCCTAGGTCCTTCTTGAGGGGTCCTATTCAGAAAGTCTTTATTCTAGCCTTAAGTGTACTCCCTAATCTGTCCTCTAGAAGGCTCACTTTCATGTCTAACATTGAGCTCTTTGATCCATCTGGAATGGCTTTTTGTGCAGGGGGAGAGATAAGGATCAAATTAAATTCTTCATGTATGTGTCTATGGGAAGAGCCGCGTTTATAAGACCTTGTTCTGGCCCTGCCCAGGCCGGGAGGCCCAGATGGGGAAACCCGGACTAGGGCCCCCCTGGATGATGGTGGGGCCTGGATGGGCTGTGAGGAAGGCAGCAAGGAGGGCACTAGAGGCAGTGAGGGTGTTGGAGGTGATGTGGGCCCTAATGCTGAGGGTGTGTGGAGCCCAGACTTTGAGCAGAGTTTTCAAGAGGCCCAGGCCATATACCCTCTGTGTGGCTGATGCAAGATCATCTTGTCAGATGAGGGTAAGATGTATGGCCAGAATGAACTCATTGCCCGTTACATCAAACTGAGGACAGGGATGACAAGAACTCACAAGCAGGTCTTGAGTCACATCCAGGTTTTGGCTAGAAGGAAATCAAGAGAAATTCAGTCCAAGCTGAAGGACCAAGTCTCCAAGGACAAGACCTTCCAGACGATGGCTACCATGTCTTCGGCACAGCTCATCTCTGCACCATCCCTCCAGGCCAAGCTGGGTCCTTCTGGCCCTCAGACCACTGAGCTTTTCTAGTTCTGGTCCAGGAACTCTGGGCTACCGTGGAATATTCCAGACGTGAAGCCATTCTTCCCAGACACCATTCTCCGTGTCACTGAATCCTCCATCCACTGACCTACCAGGGTATGAGCCGCCCCCAGCCCTCTCACCCCTGTGCCTGCCTGCTCCATCTCCCCTAGCCTGGCAGGCTTGGGCCCTGGGCACTGTGTGCCTGCAGCTGGTAGAGTTCTCAGCCTTTGTGGAACCACTGGGCGCAGTTGACTCGGTCCAGAGTCATCTGTTTGTCCCTATCATTCAGCAGTGTCCCAGTCCTAGAGCGCCGCCCCCGGAGAGTGTGGACGTGCAACAGATCTATGACAAGTTCCCCGAGAAAAAGGGTGGCCTCCAGGAGCTGTATGACCGAGGGCCACCCCATGCATTCTTCCTGGTCAAGTTCTGGGCGGACCTGAATTGGGGCCCAAGTGGCGAAGAGGCAGGGACCAGCGGAGGCAGCGGTGGCTTCTATGGAGTGAAGCAGCCAGTATGAGAGCCGGGAGCTCATGACACTTACCTGCTCCTCCAAGGTCTGTTCCTTTGGCAAGCAAGTGGTGGAGAAGGTGGAGACAGAGCGGGGGTGTGTGTGGCAGCTGGAGGATGGGCGCTTTGTGTACCCCCTGATGTGCTCCCCATGTGTGAGTACCTGGTTAACTTCCTGCACAAGCTGTGGCAGCTGCCCAGATGCTACATGATGAACAGTGTCTTGGAGAACTTCACCATCCTCCAGGTGGTGACCAACAGGGACACTCAGAAATTGCTGCTGTGCACTGCCTACATCTTTGATGTCTCCAACAGTGAACACAGAGCCCAAGACCACATCTACCACCTGGTCAGGGACTGATGGGGCCCCCACTGTTGGTTGTCCTCAGAACACCCCCTTCCCAGGAAGGACCCTTTGGCTCTCCCTGTACCCCTCATTTGGAGAGAGGGCCATGATAAAAAGGCCCGATTTCAAGCTTGAGCAAGGGGGGCTGGCTCCTATTAGAGGGTAACCCCAAAACTTGTTGAGCTGAATGAGCTGACCTTACAGGGAGCATTTGACAGGGCATCAGGGATTGGGGACAGGAGTGTATGCCTACAGGTGAGCACTGGTTTCTCAGTTCTACAGGGTCCCTCTTTGCTCTTCTACAAAAGGGAGCCGGGCAGTGTGTGAGATATTACTCATTCATTGCCTTGTACCCTTCCTGTTTTCCACCCGCCCCATGTCTGCCTCTCCCCCACATCCTTTCTCTGATCTGGGATGTCACAGACTGAAGATAACAGCTTCCCACCTGGGGGCAGAATGAAGTGGGACCTGAATTTTTTTTAATATAAGGAGATATTTATACACAGTATTAAGATGTGTTATCTCAGCTAGGGCAAGCAGTGGGGTGGGACTTCTTAATCTCATCCCTATTTTAAGTGAGCCTCAGACCACTCTGCCACCTTCCTTTCCCCAAGAGTGATGGTAATGTTCCGAAGGAGAATAAAGCTATTAAAAAAAAAAGACTTTGTTCTGCAGAGCTGAAAACCCTGTAAGCAGTGGATAACATTCCCCAGGTCTTGTAAACTGGCCACTTTTCAGTTTCAGTATCTTGGTACCATGATGTCAGCTTCTAAAAACTTAGTCTCTGTACCCTAGCCCTAAAGTTTGCTATGTGGAATATTCCCAAGCCTGCAAACATGTCAGAACATGCTGGGCTGTTGCTTTTCCTACTCAGTGATCTGAAATTAAGCTAAGTGCTCTTAATCAAGAAAGTTGCATTATGTCAGGGAAATTGAATCCTTCATGTGATCTTCAACCTAAAAGCTGTTGTGTCTTCTACTTGGTAATTCCTAAATGTCTGGTGAAGGCATTAATTTACAGTATCTCACTGTGCTAGGGCATTTCAGGATAATTTCGCATGCTTGGATAGCTCTGACTCAGTAGCTTTGGACCTGAGACTCAGAGACCAGAAGAGAACATAATGGAGACCCTAGACAAGTACTGTGTGGTTTTCTGCTTGCTGCTAGGCCTGTTGACTATAATATACTTCTTTCTTTTGGTCTGGTTCCACTTCCTGTTAGCAGGTTTCCTCGGCAGGTACTCCATGATTCTGGCACCTCTAACATCTTGGATTCTCCAAGACAATCCAGGCTTCAACTTCACAGCTTCATGGAATGGCTTCTCTACTAGGTTTCCATTCAGGGACATTGCTGACACATGCCTGACCTCAGTGGCTTTCCTTAGGGACAAATTCCATAACCCCTTTCTTCTATCCTTAACTCTCAGAACCACATGGCCAAAGCTGCCAAATTCTGCTACTTGCTGAAACTGAATCATGCCCCCTTGTTCAGTTACTCTTCACCAGCTTTCTGTCTTTCACTGCTTAAGCTTGGTTGTCCTGAAACTTGTGCTACAGACCAGACTGGCATCAAACTAGGGGATCTGCCAGCCTCTGCCTTTCCAGTGCTGGGATTAAAGGTGTGCACCACCACGCCAGCTCTAAACTTGTCTTTAGTTCCTTTTCAAAAGTTGGAAACTTAACTGGCTCTTATCCTGAGGTCACTTCATTTTTTAAATCTATTTATCTCCTTGAACACAGGATTTAGCTCTCTTCTACTTCCTGGTGCCCCTTTCCTCCTCAGATTGTACATTTTCTGCTTTTCCCTTGCACCTTTTCATTATGAGTGAAAAGTAATAACAACCGATAGAGTTCATACTAGACTGCTTTGAGATTTCCTCTGCCAACACAACTAATCCGAAACTCTTCAGTTTACTCTTCAGGCAAGGTCAAAAACTAGCCATCGTCTTCATCAAAATATCACAAGAACAGTCTCTAGGCTACATGCTAAAGTTCTTCTCCTTTGAAACTCAGCACTACTGTCTTCCATGCTCCTACTAGGATAGCTCATTAAGCCCTCACTTAACGCATTTAGCTGCTTTTCTGATTCAAAGTCCCAAAGTCCACATTCCTTCAAACAAAAGCATGGCTAGGTCTATCACAGCAATAGCCCGCTTCTGGTGCCAACTTCTGTCTTAGTTAGGATTTTATTGCTGTGAAGAGACATCATGAGCCCGGCAACTCTTCTAAAGGAAACCACTTAACTGGGGCTGGCTGACAGTCAGTTATCATCATGGAGGGACGCATGGTGCTGGAGAAGGAGCTGCCAGTTCCACAAACTGGACTGGCAGGCAGCAGGAAGTGACTGAAACACACTTCTCCAACAAGGCCACACCTCCTAATAGTTCCACTCCCTATGGACCTATGTAGGTCATTTTAAATCAAACTACCACAGATTGTGTTTCTTAGAAATGTAACATTGAGTACTGCCTCTTTGTCAAATTGTAGCTGTAGGTTTGGGCTTTTGGTTTAGTATTTGTCTGATATGTTAGGTCGGGGAAATTGAGTTACTGTGCTTTTTCAAAATGCAGGTGTATTGGACTCTCCTTGTCTGGTGTCATTGGCAGGCATTTTGGATGAGTGGAGCTACTCCTTGACTTTCTGGATCGAACAATTCCAGTCTCCATGATTCTTTGTAATCAAGGGAGTTGAACATTTCTTTTCGGGGTAATTATTGGTCGAGTGTGCCCTGTGGCTGTGTGTATAAACTAGCATCTATGTAGAATCAGGTTACATTTCATGCTGTGTTTCTGAGGGCAGCCAGCTCAGTTTTAAAAGTGAGCATGAGGTTGACTGATGTTTCTAATTGCCTAGTAAACCTGGCAGGAACAGATTTAAACATCAAGATTTATGTGCTAGTCCTTATACTCTTGGACCCAACTTCCCTTTTTTGGGTTTCTGTCTTACTGCAAGTAGTCAGCCATATTGCTACTCCTTGTGGCCTATGTGCAGTTAGACTTGGATGGGCCTTCCAGCAACTATGTTAGAACGCTAGGGAAGCTAGGTGGCTACCTCTGGTTGTCTTTTGTCTTATAGGAGCTTAATGGGGGAGAGTCTTCTGTTTTGTGTTAATTTCATTGGTTAAATAAAGAGACTGCGTTGGCCCTTTAATAGGACAGAAAATTAGGTAGGCGGAGTAAACAAAACAGAATGCTGGGAAAAAGAAGTTGAGTCAGGCAGTCGCCATGATTCTCCCACCCGACACAGACACAGGTTAAGATCTTTCCTGGTAAGCCATACCTTGTGATGCTACAAAGATTATTAAATATGGGTTAAAACAAGATGTGAAAATTAGCCAATAAGAGGCTAGAACTAATGGGCCAAGCAGTGTTTAAAAGAATACAGTTTCCGTGTAATGATTTCGGGTAAAGCTAGCTGGGCGACGGGAAGCAGCCCACTGCTGCCCTCATACTATAGGAGCTTGTCATGAAGAGATTCTATCTGGCCTTATTCTGACTTCAGTGAATTGGGAGCGACATCATGCTTTAAGTGAGACTGTTGTTCTAGTTCTTATCCTTCACTTCTGCCAATTACGTTTTAGACTTGCTTCTAAATCTTAGGGGTTTCAAAAAGATGTTCTGGTATGTATTGTCAATAGTTAAGTTTTCTGGTGTGTGTGCATGTGGTGGAGAGGAGCCTAAAACTTTATTCTGTGATATTGTTAATATCACTCTCAAAGATTTATTTTGAAAGTAAAACTTTGTATTTCTGCCATACGTAGAAAGCTAGTAGATTACAAATAACCATAAAATGGACATTTTAAAAGTTGTATTTTAACATTTTGCTTAAATACCATATTACCTGGTGAAGTTGAGACATTTACTCTGGTTTGTGTGTTTTAAGAAATTGGTAAGTTTTGAGGCATGTTAGAATAATAGAGACATTTCTCATGATATAGTCAAGAGGGAATGGTACGTGAACGTCAGTGTTCTGTTCGGGTCAAGTCCAAGAAGGGTTATCCAAGATAAAATTTAGACTCTCTGCAGTAGGGAGGTCCAGCTTCTGATGGACTGAAACTTGCAGCTTTGCAAAAGCCTCCTTTTATTGTTACACAAATTTCTCCTCTAGCAAGTCAGTTTCTGCATACCAAAACTTTTTATCTGGAGTTGTTTGAATGATTTGCCTAAGCAATTCTCAGCCACAGATCTCCTGGTTTGCCAGGTCCTCTCAAGACTCAGTTTTGCAAAGGCTCTGAAATTCTTCAGGAAGAACTCAGAGAAGAATCACTGACTTTAAACAAAAGGTAGTTCAAAGCCTAGGTGGTGTGTCTCTAAAATTCAAGCCAGATGCAGTGACTCTGTGGAGCAAAGACTAATTTTCTCAAGCTGTGATTGAATACTGTTTTCATGTGTGGTGGTTTGAAAGAAAATGGCCCCCAGAGGGTGGCACTATTAGAAGTATGGCCTTGTTGGAGGGAGTGTGCCACCATGGGGGTGGGCTCTGAGGTCTATGCTAAAGCTACATTCAGTGTAGACTCAATCTTCTTGTTGCCTTTGAATCAAGATGTAGAAATCTCAGCTCCTTCTTCAGCACCGTGTCTGCCTGCGTGCCGCTATGTTGCACTGTGATGATAATGGACTGAACCTCTGTAAATGTAAACCACCCCAATTAAGTGTTTTTCCTTTATAAGAGTTGCTGTGGGCATGGTGTCTCTTCATAGCAGTAGAAATCCCAAGATATCATGTGAGCACCATATACATTCTGCTTAATGGAAACCACTAACCTGAAGCATTAATTTGAGATATTTTTTGTAGCATTTCTCCCCTCTTTATCTTTTCTTCCATTCATTTCATTTTTAGCAAATTGTGTAGTGTAGGTGTTTTCCTGTGCTGGCAGCTGCTCTCAAATAACCACTCAGAGTCTTAATTATAAATGCTTGGCCAATGGCTCAGGCTTGACACTAGCTAACTCTTACATTTTCAGTTAACCCATATTTTTATCTACACTTTGTGACCTTTTCTCAGTACAGCATGCCCTTCTTGCTCCTCTCTGTCTCTGCTGGTAACTCCTGACTACACCCTTCTTTCTCCCATCATTCTGTTTGTCTCTTCCGCCTAAGCTTATTCTGTTCAGCTATTGGCCAGTCAGCTCCTTTATTAAACTAATCCCTATGACATATTTACAGTATGCAGAAGATTATTCTACGGCAGGATATAGATGAAATGATCTTATAGCCATAACTTGCTTAGGACTAAATGATCAATATATTTGGAATGTTATTATCACCATTAGTATTACTATATTTTTATAAATAACATCTATTTTATCTCCATGTAAATATTTCACATATTATAGAAATGTTTACTCCTATTTATCTGTTTAGCAAATGTTTTTCCTTGTGGATCTCAGCGCAAGCTGTCTTCCTTTCTGAAGGCTCTCTGGAGAGGCTCAGCACTCTCACTTCATTTACTGTCTCACCCTTGAATTTCTCGCATTATTTCACCTAACATACTACCCGTGGTTATGCGAGTCAGCTTTACTAGTCTATAATTTGCTTCAGACCAGAGACCGTAGCTTTTTGTCTTTTTATTACCAGTGGTGTATTGTGTGCAGTATGTGTGTGTGGTGTGTGATGTGCAGTGTGCTCAACATGCAGTGTGTGGTGTACAATGTGCAGTGTGGCAAATTTGCACTGTGCAGCATATGGTGTGTGCAATGTAAGGTGCGTGTGGTGTTCAGTGTGTGCTGTGCAGTGTGATCTAGTTTTCAGCTCATAGCATTTATTTTCAAATTCAATAAATAATAAGTTTGAGATATGTAATCTATTAAAGGCCAATATTTCATACTTTATGCTAGACATTTGATGATGCAAAGATGAATAATATATGGTCAGTGTGGTAAGAGTCTTCTGGGAATATACAGTTTTTGTAACATATTATTGTTTTTGAAAGATTTATTTATATTTACATGTATAAATCTTTTATGTGCATTTATGTTAAGTGTACTGTGTTTTTATCTGGTGCCTGTGGAGTCCAGAGAGGATGCTAGATCCCTTAGAACTGGAGTTACAGGTGGTTGAAAGTAACCATGTGGGTGCTGGGTACTGAACCCAGGTCCCTGGAAGAGCAACACGTGTTCTTAACTGCTGGGCCATCTATCCAGCACTTTTTTATTTTAAAAAGCTTAAGGACAAAGCTGGGCAGTGGTGGCACAAACCTTTAATCCCAGCACTCGGGAGGCAGAGACAGGCGGATCTCTGTGAGTTTGAGGCCAGCCTGGTCTACAAGAGCTAGTTCCAGGACAGACTCCAAAGCTACAATGAAACCATGTCTCAAAAAAAAAAAAAGTAAGGACTTAGTGAGACTCGAACATACATGCTTACTTCACAAGGCTAGGTCTTAAACCATAATCTGAGGAACATCAGAGTTTCATGTTTATCACATTTAGTAGACAGATTTTTTATTTCTCTGAAGGCAAAGGCTCTATACCTTAGTATCCTTAAGCCCTTGAGGTGTGTGTAATTGAAGTAAATATTTACTAATAAATTTCATATTGATTTGAGATGACATGATGGCTCTTGACTTCAGTACTGCATGAATCTAAAAAAAATTGAATAATTGAATGTGTTTAGGCTTACACTAATGACTAAACACTAGGGACTGGACACTTATAATGGAAACCATATAGTGTGAGTGAAATGAACTAATGCTAGCATGGCATAATGGCGTCACATATACTTGTTGCAATGAATTTCTTCTCTTGTAGACCATTTTTCTGGCTGCAGATTCCAATGCTGATGCAGGACTAGATTTTGAAGAATTTGTACAGTACCTTCAAGACCACGAGAAGAAAATGAAACTGGCATTTAAGAGTCTGGACAGAAATAATGATGGTGTGTGTATGTATTCCCCACAGTTAGCTTGATATGCATAAGTACTAGTGCTAATGAATAATTTTACTAGCCTTTTTAATTTCTTCCTACTGTCAGATCCAATTTATTATTTAGCAATAATTTTTATATTACATAGAATAATGTAATTGATGTCTTTGGGTTTCTATAGCTATGATAAAACATCAGAACCAAAAGCAACTTGAATTTCTTCTTTTTTGTAGGAAATTCTTGAGGTTGCAAATCTCACTGTGTAGCCCTTGCTGGCCTGAAACTTGCTATATAGACCAAGCTGGCCTTGAACTGACAGAGATCTTCCTGCCTTTGCTTCCTGAGTGCTGAGTGCCTTGTCCAGCACATTCATATATATAAAACAATTCCTCATGTTGTGCTGACCCCCCAACCAGAAATTTATTATTATTATTATTATTTTGTCTGGTTTTTTTTTTTTTTTTTTTTGGAGCTTGTCCTGGAACTTGCTCTATAGACCAGACTCCAGGCTGACCTCAAACTCAGAGAGCCACCTGCCTCTGTCTCCTGAGGAATGCTGGGATTAAAGGTGTGTGCTACCACTGCTCAGTATAAGATTTATTGTTGCTACATCATAACTGTAATTTTACTGCCAATACGAACTGTAATGTAAATGTCTGTTTTCTTAGGCAGCCGCTGTCAAAGGGTTGTTCAACCACAAAGAGGTCACGGCCCACAGGTTGAGAACATTGCTATAGCCCTTCTTTTCAAGTTTAATTTATGTATTCTTTAAGACAGAGTTTCACTGTGTAGTCCTGGCTGGCCTTGCACTCACTATGTAGATAGAGATCTGCCCGCCTCTGTCTCCTGAATACTGGGATTAAAGGTGTGCTCCACCATACCTACCACATCTGATATCTTATATCTTTAATTAAGATAAGTCTGCTGTATACTCCCTCCAAGACTCAAGGGAACATGGAGGAAGAGAAAAGCAGAAAGAGCAGAAAAGCCGGAGGATGGGGAGATGTGTGGAATGACATGGCTGTTAGGCTCATGAACTCACAATCACTGGTTACCTGCGCAAGAGCTGCTTATGATTGGCCTGTCAGCCTTTCCTAGTGAGGCCCACCCCTCCTTAGGGTCGTTGAGCAGTTATGGTGGCTAGGGGAAGAGGCGTCACTTTTTTCAGTGATGTAATTCTTGATAAGCTGCTCACGCTCCAGTAAATGACCTCCTACTCATGTCTCACAAACAACCCTAATTAAACTCAGTGGGTCATATGGAAAAAGACATGGAAATAGTGGAGAATTTCTTGGGAAGAGAAAAAAGGTTTCATTGGGAGAGGGGGGTTAGAGAGGGTATGAAAATTGCTAAAATTTACTATGCACATATATGAAACTGTCAAAGAAGAAAAAACTGACAAAAACAACAGAAGGGAGAAAAAGTTTATCTGTTGTACGGTTGAAGGGTACAGTCCATCCTGGTGGGAAGCCTGAGTGGTGGGGCTTGAAGCAGCTGGTTGACAGAGATGAATGAATTCCAGTTTGCTTTCACTAGTTTATACACACACGCACACACACACACACACACACACACACACACACACACACAGAGACCTTACACACATATATGTATATGTAAGATCCATCTATGGAATGGTGCCACCCACAGTGGGCAAGGGTTCCCGTCTCAATTAATACAGTCAAGATTATCTCCCAGGTATGCCTAAAGGGTGATTCTAGGTTCTGTCAAGTTGACAGTTAACACTGCTATTTAGAGGTCAATTTTTACATTTTGATCAGTTTCTTAATTCCAAATAGACTTTGTTTCTTTCTTTGTTTCTTTTTTCTTTACATGAACTTGCAGTCACATATGTATAGTTTGGTGTTCAGTGTTCCTTTTAATGTTATATTGTGTTTTCATTTCTTTTGCAAACATAATTTTTAGTGGCTGGGAAATATTCCAGTTGTGTGGCTGTCCTGGAAGGAATGAAGATATTCTAGAGACACCATGTCCCTACTCCCTTTGGTTATCAGATTGTGGAAATAATGAATCTCAGGACACAGGGTTTTCCAAAGGAGTGTTCTGCTGGGAGAAGGAAAGATTGACTCGTTGGTTCCCCCAGAAGGAACCTGGAAAGAGACTTCACACAGTTTCAACAGCCCTTTCATGTTTATAAAAGAGAGGTGGAGCTGGGACCTGAGGATGGGTGACCTTGACCAGAACTGCTTCCTTCCTCAGACCTCTGGTGCTTTGTTTAAACCTGAACCTGTGTAAAGATGGACCTAGTGGGTGGTGGATCACTGGGCCTTCTTGTTCTTCCTAATATGGTCATACTTAAGAACCCCCCTTTTTCTGGTTTTCACCATTGTATCTTTTTGTTTTATTATTTATAATTTATCTTTACTTTTTATGTGTACATATGTGTGCTTGTGTGGATATGTGTGTCTGTTCATGGGTACAGGTGCCCATGGAGGGCAGATGCTTCAGATCCCCTGGAGCTAGAGTTTCAGGCAATTGTGAACAGCCTGATATGGGTCCTGGGAACCAAATTTGGGTCCCCTGTAAGAGCTGTATACGCTCTTAATTGTTGAATCATCTCTCCAACCTCATTTTGTTTTTAATTGTCTTACTGAGGACAAGTGGCCCAGTGTGACTTACTAGCCTGGCTGTGACCCTAACAACTCTGGTAACAGGATGTGGATCATCCAGTCATTCTCATATTGTTAGTTCTGATCATTTATAAACAGTAGTGCAGTCATTATCTATATAGGTTTTCAGACCTAGTTATATTCTGGTTAATTACAGCTGGTCATTTGCTGGCCTAAGATAGATAAACTCTAGTGTTGTTGTGGAATTTTATTCTGTTCTTGACTACTACTACCATGGTCATTTGTGAAGCTGAAAACCCTCAGATAATTAGTGAGGTTAAAATGCTTTTAGGAAAATATAGTATTTCTATTGTCCCTGTTATGATTAATCTTGTTTACCAACTTGAATTTTAATCTGCTAAGAGACATGCCTCTGGACAAGTCTGTGAGGGGACTTTTTGGAAGGATTAACTGTGGGAGTGATGTGTAAGTGGTGGTATATGGGTTGGGTTGGTGATGGTAGAAGGCTTGGGGGGATACACTCCCTAGAGTGGGCAGCACTCTTCAGCAGTGTTCAAAGTATAAAGAGTCTGAGTAAAGGAAGTTCTATTTTTTTGCCTGTGAATTCATCTACTCTTGTTGTTACTGCTACTACCATCTTTTGCTGACATTGGAACACAACATTTGGTTTTAATGAGAATGACCCCTCTAAAGTACATATATGTAAAACACCTGGTCCCCAGATGGTGGAAGTGTTTGGGAAGGATTAAGAGGTGCGGCCTAGTGAGAGAAGGTGTCTGGTGGTGGGCTTGAGGTTTCAAAAGACTTGCTTCGTTCCCAGTGTGGCTTTCTGCCTCTTTCTCGTGGATCAAGCTGTGAGCTCTCAGACGTTCCTGCTGCCAGCTTTTGCTCCACTGTCACGGACACTAACTGTCTGAGACCACATGCCTTATTAAACACTTTCTTTTCTAAGTTGCCTCAGTCATGCTGCTTTATTGCAGCAATAGAAAAGTAAGGCAGCCCTTAAAACTGAACTGAAGACAGTCCAGGCTTTGGGAATTTTCTAGCCCTAAGATGAGACTGATGAGCTATTCAGCCTCATGGACTAAACACCTATGAAATTTTCAGCCTCTCCACCATACAGATAACCATTGTTGGACTACCCAGCCCATCTTGCACAGACCAGTGTAATAAATGTTCATTTAATAAGTTTTGTTCATTTAGAGAACCTTGACTAATGCATCTGTTAATAAACCTTGGTAATTGAAAATGCTCCTGAGGTAAAATAAATTTGACACCAAGAAGAAATTCTCAAGTTGATATATTAGTATCATGCTCTAAGTCTTGATAAGTCAAACTGGAATATTACAAATTATCCCCCAAAGACCTTCAGAGATACCATTCTAGAAGCGTTACTATTTGCCCTACTGCTTTTGAGGGTGAACTGTTACAGGGAACTGTGGGTGGAATCAACCCTTTCTGTCCTGAGTTGGTTTTTGATCATGATGCTTCATTATAGCAATAGTAACCCTAGTGAGGATGGTGGTTTACGTAGCAGATTATCAATCTAAAAAATCTAACAGATGAGCATAGTATTTGCAATTTGTTAAGTAAGGATTAGAGTTTATCATTTGAAGAAACTTCAGTTTGTATGCCAGTAAAATGCCTTGTTTGGGTCTTGGGAAATTTGATTCATATGAAGAAAAATTGTGATTCTGTATGAAAAATGTCTTTGTTGGTGGATTAAATAATACCTCACATGTATATAGTTTCTCATGTATTATACAAATGAAAAGTATGAGTAGATTACTGGTAGCATTTTTGCTGTGCAAGAATGTTCTTGTACACTGTTAAATTTGTCACTTATATTGGTTTAATAAAACGCTGATTGGCTAGTAGCCAGGCAGGAAGCATAGGTGGGGCAACAGACTAATAAAATTATGGGAAGAGGAAAGGCAGAGGCAGTCACCAGCCAGACACAAATGGAGCAAGATGAGAATGCCTCACTGAAAAAAGGTATTGAGCAACATGGCATAGACAAGACAACAAAAACAAGAATTATGGGTTAATTTAAGTTGTAAGAGTTAGTTAATAATAAACCTGAGCTAATAGGCCAAACAATTTATAATTAATATAAGCCTCTGTTTGTTTCTTTGGGACTGAATGGCTGCCGGACTGGGGTGGGAGGACAGAAACTTGTGTCTGCACATTTTGATGTTGTTGCTATAAAGAATGATACATATATTCAAGAATTATTAGGGCCAGTGAGATGACTCTGTGAGAAAGGTGCTTGCTGTGCAAACCTGACAACCTGAATTTGACCCATGATTCCACAGTAGAAGAAGAAAACTGATTCTTGAACATTGTCTTTTGGTCTCCACATATATGCCGTGGCACTTGGACATGCCTATGAACCTCAACATTGACCAACATGGCACAGTAGCCCTAAGGGTGCAGTAGTGACACACAGACCTTGGCAGTAACCAACAACTCTCTTATTGGACATATGCCCGCTCAACATGAGGGAGATCATGGCTGGTACTGAGACCCTAGCCAATTACACAGGGCTAGTGAAATGGATCTTGGAGAACCTGCAACTGCTGCTTACTAAACCAGCATGATCCCTAACAACATTATAAATATTTGTCCTTATACCCACAGAGAAGTGTAGTCTTCATTCCTCATCAAGGAAATTTCTCTTTGCAACAGATGGAGACCATTACTGAAGATCACAACTGATCAAAATGCAGAGCTGTGGAGTCAAGTCCCAAGTGATATCATCTACAAAACAACGTCTGCACCTAAGGTTCAGGGATCATTGCTGAATCAGAGGGGGCAGAAAGTTACACCTATGAAGTTTCAACATGGCTGCCTAAACAAGACCTGAACAAGGACGACAGCAGTTTTATACCAATGTAGAAGGAGGAAAGCTCAAGAAACTTCTACCTTAGACAAAGAGCAACAGGCAACTAAAGAATTCGGAGAGCTAGACAAATAGTCTTCCCCAGAGAAGGGCATACCAATAGGTTATTCAGGAACAAATATTTAGCCTTAAAACATACACATACAGGTAACACTATGTGAACTAATCAGGCTGTATTTATATATTTATGAATACATGCATATGTAAATTTATAGACATATATATACACACACATATATATATATATTTATCATAACAATTAAAAAGAGGCCATGTATTTGTGAGAAAGCAGGGGAGCATATATGAGAAAGGTTGGAGGGAGGAAAAGGAAGGGAGAAATGATATAATTATATTGCAATATTAAAATAGAAAAAGATAAAATAAAAGTAAAAGAATCTGATTTTACTTTGGAAAATAATATGTGTTATATTTGTGTTCTATAGTTTGAGGAGAATATGGAATTTTTAATTTTCCTTTTACAACTACTAGCAATGTGAAAATGAACTGCATATTAGGCATATTGTATACACACACACATATGACACACATACATATACCTTGGTAAAACCAACAGCTCTCTTATTGGACTTAAGGCCTACTTAACAAGAGGGACAATTTAAATTATATATATATGTATACATATATACACCTATTTATATACTTAATTACATATATATAACTAAATTATATATATACACTTTTTTATTTTTCTGTTTTTTTGAGACAGGGTTTTTTCTGTGGTTTTGGAGCCTGTCCTGGAACTAGCTCTTGTAGACCAGGCTGGTCTCGAACTCAAAAAGATCAGCCTGCCTCTGCCTCCCAAGTGCTGGGATTAAAGGCGTGCGCCACCACCGCCCGGCTTTATACATACACATTTTATTTGAGTTATTTAGCACAGTACATGTTTCTGTTAAAAGAGCTTGGTTCTATAAGGATCTTTTAAAGATTACTTTATAAATAATTATTTATTCTTGTCCCCTGAGTCAGGTCTTCAGCACCAACTTTTCTGTCCTTTATTTCAGTTCAAATAGGTGCAAGAGTCAAATGTGTAATGATATGTAGTCTTTGGGGCAGATGTGGTTTGGCGTTTATAGTAATACACTGCACCTGTGATATGTGATGTCCCAAGTGATGTCTGTGCCACGAGCTAGTATGACAGTTATGACTATCAATGTTTTCTTCCTGAAACATGAATGTTCACACTTAATGAGATAAGTCACTAAGTAGAACTTATCTTGTCTCAATTTAAAGAGACTTTTCTACCAAATGTAATCTTGGTGCCTACCTTTTGTAGTTTTTAGGCTTCGAGTTAAGGGTTTGAGAGTAAAGATCCACCAAACTCAGGCTTCTAAATCAAAAACAGCTGCATTCTAAGGATATTTTGCTTTTGCCATCTTTTCAGATACTTAACCTGGTCTCTCTCACTTTTTTAAGGAGTTATAGACGCTTCAGAAATAGTCGCTGCGGTGCAGTCTTTGGGGATCTACATTTCTCTCTCTCAGGCAAAGGACATCCTGAAAAGGTATTGCTATACATGTGACATTTCAAGCTCCTTCTCTCATTTTATAGGGACAGTTTAAAATCAAATGAGTTTACTTTTATGAGATGATTGAACATCTATTTCTTTAGTCTGTATGTGTGGTATATTGTTTAGTTTTCTCTACATTAATTCTTCTGCTTTCATTCTTGTGGTAAACACATTGAATTTTTCTCTCATGGGGGTCTGTGGAGGGTACCCCAGTTGGCAAAGTGCTTGTTGTGAGGCATGGGACTTAAGTTCGATCACAGCATCCACATAAAGTCTAGGTATGGTGACATGCTTGGGAGTGTGGAGACAGATTAATTCCTGTACCTCTTAGCCAGCCAGCCCAGCCTAGCCAACAAGTCCCATGCCTGGTGTGTGTGTGTGTGTGTGTGTGTGTGTGTGTGTGTATGTGTGTGTGTACTTGACAAAAGCTAAAGTTATCTGGGAAGACTCCTGGGGAATGACATCAGAGGTTGGCCTCTGGCCTTCAGATGCACATGAATTGAATGCTCATTCTCTCTCTCTCTCTCTCTCTCTCTCTCTCTCTCTCTCTCTCTTACACACACACTTTGATGCATGAAATCTGCTAAAATTTGTTCATAATTTTTGCAATTGTTTTCATAAGAGAGATAGTCCAGATCAGTCTTTCTTTGCTGACTCTCTTAATTTTGCCTTTTTAGGTTATATTGACTGGAATGAGTTGGGGGTGTTTTTTGTCAAGCATAAAATAGAATTGGATTACTGTCCTAGTTAACTTTCCTGTTGCTGTGAGAGAATAGCTTGACAAAAGCAACTTAAAGGATTCCAGAAACCAATCACATTATATCCACAGTCAGGAGCAGAGAGCCATGAACTAATTCATTCATGCTTGTACTCAGCTCTCGGATCACTTGCCCAAGAATGGAGCTGCTCACAATGGGCAGGTCTTCCCACATCAATAGTCAAGATAATCCCTCCCAGACTTCTCAGAGGCTAACCTTATCCCAGACCGTCCCTCACAGGTGTGCCCGGAGGCTTGTCTCCTAGGTTGACAATTAATTGACAATTAATATTAATCATTACAGTTATTTATCTCTTAAAGGATTAAAAGAACTTACACAAAACTAGTTGAGCCTTGTGTTTTCTGTGTGGGAGGATTCTAATTAAATGTCATTAACATTAATAGAACCATTCATACTTTCTAATCCTTCTTGAGTCAATTTTAAAAGTTGTGTTTTTAAAGCTGTATTCGTGTGTGTGTCCTGTGAAAATCAATGTACAAATTCAGCCCAATACCTGTGAAAAATATCTAATCCCATTTTCCATAGAAAGAAAAGCATATTAAAGTTTATGTAGAAGCACAAAAGACCCTGGGTAGCCAAAGCAATACTGGGCAAAAAGAACAGTGCTGGAGGTATCACTGTACCTAATTTCAAATTATAATACAGAGCCATAGTAATAAAAACAGCATGGCACTGGCACCAAAACACACAGGAGATCAACAAAATAGAACAGGGGACCTAGATATAAGTCCAGGCAGGTACAGCCATTTTTTTTTTTTGACAAAGAAGCCAAAAGTACACATTAGAGAGAAGACAGCCTGTTTGGGTGTTGGGAAAACTGGATGTGCTGAGAATGAAACCAGTTCCTTCTCTCTCACCCCGCACAATAATGAACTCCAAGTGGATCAAAGACCTTCTGAGACTGCTGGAGGAGAAAGCAGGGAAAGCACTCCAAGATAGAGGCGTAGGTAAAGACTTTGTAAATGGGACTCCAGTTGCTCAGTAAGTAAGGGCAGCAATCTACAAATGAGACCACATGTAATGAAAAGGCAAAGAGAAGAGATAAGCCAGAGGAGAATTGGAGAAAATCTTTGCCAACTGTACTCCAACCAAGTAATCAATCATCTTTGATTAAGATTCAAAAATGTATAGAGCTCAAACCGTTAAACAATAAAACAAAGAACCCAATCAAACACTGTCTGTGGGGTTGGGGAGATGGCTCAGTGGGGACAGTGCCTGCTGCATGGGCATGGGGACCCAAGCTCTGTCCTCAGAACTTGTGTAAAGCTAGCAGAATGGCTCAAGCCTGTAATCTAGTAGCAGGGTGGACAGTCAGCTCTTGGGTGTTTGCTGCCCACAATCTGGCTGAGACACTGAGCTTCAGGGTTAGAGTCTGTCTTAAAAAGTAAGCTGGAGGCTGGACTGAGGAAAGGCATTCTAGGTCAGCTGTAGGTCTCCACACATGCTGCACAGAAGAGCTCACCTGCACACATATGCTTGTGAGATCACGGGCCTCTGGTGAAGCTGCTGTTGTTTTGCTAAATGGGTATGATGTGTCTATCAGATTGCCTTTATGTCTAGCAAAGGGTTACTATTTCTGTCAGCTTTTGTCAGAGAAGCTTCTTTTTGCAGTGGTCAAAGGTAACTATCAAAGTGCTAGGAATAAGTGAGTGTTGGGTGCTCAGCCATAATTGGGACATCAATATCACCCCCTAAAAGGCCCAGGTAGCATCACGATAGAAGAAGAATGTAAGAGCCAGAGGAAGATGGGGAGAAGTTGTGTGGAACATGACTTAGGGCATGGTGTGGTCTGCACTTCTAACTTAGAGAATCCGTGATTCCCTACAAGATTGCACCATTTTAGGCTCATCAGGATCTTGGGGCCCCACCCCTGAGGGTTTATACAGAATTTCTGGTTGACAGGGAAGGGGAAGACCTTTTCTTCAGTGGTACAGCCCCTGTAAGGTGCCCATGCTCCATTAAACAAATCCTCACCCATGTTCCTGTAAGCAAACCTAATTAAGCACATTAGGTCTCTCTCTCCTCCCCCCCCCCCACACACATGAACACTACACACATGACATGGAAGTGTAAGTTCCTCATTGGGAGGAAATCAGGAAGTTGGGAGGGGAACAAGAAAGTATAAAGGGGAAGTGAATTAGGATCCAAAGACATGTACATGTATGTAAATTTCATAATGAACCCATTATTATGAATAATTATGTACAATAATAAATATATAAGCATATAAATAAATAAATAATATTTCCAGGAATTTATTAGTATCACCTAAGTTTTAAAATATATTGACATGTTTGTTCACTGTCCTCTTTTTTTTCTACAACTGAGATTTTATTGATTGAGGAACATTGCACAGACATTTCAGTTCTTAACACATGAGCCCCAACTCTGAAGTCATACACTGTGTTCATGTGCCCCAAACTCTGAAGAGCCATGTGCGTTTCTTTATGAACAGTTCAGTGATGTTCCAGCCTCAAACGAAGATTTCCCATAACAAGGCAAATGCTCAGCATCTTCATTTCCACCAACTCACAGTTTTATATTATATGCAGCACATATTAAAAAAATCTCCATCTTGCAGAGCACATTATTACAACAGTTAGGAAAATGAACTGCCATTACCAGAGGTGCTGTGGTTCTGACTGGGCCGTGAGTGACTAGAGGATTTCTAGGAAACTGTTCTGCTAGAAACGTGAGACCGGATGTAACTGAAACTGTCTCAGACATAAATGCACAGCCGAAACTCCCAATTGCAGTTTAGTATGCTTGGCATTGCAGGATGTAAAGCTAGCCCCTCCATGGGGTGTTAACTGTCCCCGAGACTGTCACAGCCTCTCCTGATTCAGTACCCTGCTATCTTCTGTTGTAACAAAAAATAAACAACCCTGAAATGATTTCACCTCATAAAATATCATTTATGCTTACAAAAATGGGCTGATGTGGATCTCCCCCCTCCCATTTAAAAATGTTGCCAGAGCTTCTAAAAAACTCACATTTGCTAAATAGTTGATAAAAAATATTCCTCTGGATTGAACAAGAAGGGAGGTGGGGACCACTGCCAGGCACGATGGATGGTCAGCCGGACGTGGCTTCTTTCTCTTCTCCTTCAGAGGCTGGTCTCTGGTTTTCCTTGTCACATTTTCTGCAGGCAGATCTGTAGTTTGCTAGCCAACCACTGCAGCCTGTTTGTTCTTTGCTGCCTCTTCCTTTTGTTTGCACTTTCTGGGTCTGGTGATTTATCTTCCAGCAGAAGCCTTTTTCGGTTTTGGGTCCTCCTTCAGGTCCACCAGTGGTTTTGCCTGACAGCTTGGTAGAGGGGCGCCTGGGCTCCACCTTTGCTGCTGTGTCTGCGTGTGCTACGCTAAACTTCCTCTTGGCCGTCCTGGCAGCACTAGGTGGGAGGCACATGTGATGCTGAGCCTGCCATGAGCTATGCTGCTAGCTGCCACCACTCTAACCGCAGCGACCTGCCACAGCGGCCTGTGGGAGCTGTTTATCGTATTCTTATAATCGTTTGCTCTCTCCATATCGATAGTTATGTTCTTCTCTTTTAACCACAAAGTTCATGTGTGTATTTAAAAAAAGTTTCACTGAAGATTTCCTTATTTTATTTTTAGATTTTTACTATTTTAGTTGTATGTATGTATGTGTGTATGTATGTATATATGTGTGTGTATGTATGTATGCATGTATATATATATGCGTGTATGTATGTTTGCATGTATGTATGTATTATGTATGTGTGTATATATGTGTGTGTATGTATGTATGTGTGTATGTATGTGTGTATGCATGTATGTGTGTGTATGTATGTGTGTATGTATGTGTGTATGTATGTGTGTGTATGTATGTATGTGTATATTATGTATGTGTGTATTATGTATGTGTGTATGTATGTATTATGTATGTGTGTATGTATGTGTGTGTATGTATGTATGCATGTGTGTGTGTATGTATGTATGTGTATGGCTCACGTGGCACCTGTGCATGTGGAGGTCCAAAGGAAACCTGCAGGAGTCTCTGTTGTACTTATGAGCTGTCACATGCATTTTTTGCTTACCATTATAAGTTAAATTTGCTTTAAGTAGTGTATGTGCTTTTTATTTGTGGTTTTCATTGTTAGTACAAATTGCTGCATTATATCATTAGTTCATCAATTTCCAGATTTCTGATATGGTAAGAATAGTTTTCGGTTTCGGTGGTAGCACCGGGTATTACACCTGTGACCTCACACATGTTGGGCAAACTCTCTCCCACGGCACTGTACCCAGGAACAAAAGTGCTATTGCAAGTGCCTTTTGTATGTTCTGCAAGAACTGGTGTGCTGACTGACGCTCTCACTCCTCCCTTCTTCCTAAGATAGCACAGCCACAGACTTGCCAGCAAGCACACAACCCTCAGCACTTTCCTTTTGGTTTGTTTGTTTGAGATGAGGTCTGTGTAGCCAGGCTGCCCCCGAACTCACTCTGTAGCTCAGAATGGCCCTTGACACCATTGCTCTGTCTCAGCCTCAAGAACGCTGGAACTGCCAGTAGGAGCCACCGCAATCATTTTATGGTCAGGCCGATGGAGTTAGTTTTTGGCCAGTGATGCAAAGGGGCACATATATACAGAATTACACTGTGAGTTCCTGCTCCCTGGGAGCTCTGAGTTGCACATCTGTTTGGTTCTACCCATCCATTCTCTACGTAGGCTCCTACTTCTCTGCATACTACTGCCTGGCACCTATCCCCAGCCAGAAACCAGTTTGGTGGGAGCTTGGCTCATCTGTTTCCCTTTTCTACACAGGACCCAGTTCTGCCCACAGTGCCTGCGGACACTCATTTCCTGCATCTTGTCAGAGCATGAATTCTTGCAGAGGTTTCGCTGGTGCTGGACATTAGATGAAGCTACTTGTCAGGAGAATGAATTTTTTATTTTTACAAAATTTCCATTTAGAAAAATATCACTAAATTTCCCCCCCTCACTCTACATTTTGCCCAGACACACTTAAAAAACATTTTGAAGATGAAGTTTTAATTTTTGTTATTGTGTGTGTGTAGACATATGTGTGCTGTGACACCTGTGTGGAGGGTGGAAGACAACTCTCAGGAGTAGCTTCTCTCCTCCCACTGTGGGTTCCAAAGTGCACTTTCCCCCACTGAGCCATCCTCTCTGGAGATGCTTGAAGGCCAAGGGAACACTGAGTTTTAAATGGTGAAAATGGAGTACTAGGTATAAAAAATGAGCTTGTGTAGAAAAGCTTACTTTAAAGTTGATTTGAAAGCCAACAAGGAAAAAGAGGGATAAAGGCAAAAATAATCCTAGTAGATCCAAAAGATACAAGGTTATTCGGTCAGATTTATTGACTTAGTCATTCGATTACTCAGTACTAGAGATATGCATATGGCTTTAAAATAATCTTTCTATCCAAAAAATATGAGGAAAATCTGAGAATTACATTCAAATAAACAAAAACAATATATAGTGGATTTTAGTGGAGGAACAGTCTACGAAGCCTCTGCACGCGCGTGTGTGTGTGTGTGTGTGTGTGTGTGCTCTCCTGCTTGTGTGTATATGTGCATGTGGAAGCCAGCCAGGTGCTGTTCCACAATGTTTCACAAGTTCCATCCACCTTTTTGTTTGTTTGCTTGTCTTTTGTTTTTGTTTACTTTTTTGTTGAGATGGGAGTCTCCCAGTGGCTAGAACATTCTGGGTATGCAAGGCTGGCACACCTGGCTTGTTTTTGCATGGGTTCTGGGGACTGACTTTAGCTCTTGTGGTTGCAAGGCAATCATTTTATATGCTGGGATGGCTCTCTAGCCCCTGATTATCAGTGCTCTTTGGGAATAGACAATTGTCAAAAATAAGAAAAGTCTGAAAACTGCTATAATCAAGAGGAGCTTACGGAGGAATGATAACTTGATAGAGTGTTATATCTCAGTGTGATACTGAGGCTAGAAGAACACTAGTTTAAAATGAAGGGCATCTGAATGAAGTATAAAATGTAGTTATAAATATTGTGCCAGGCATTAGTCATGAGTTAAAATAAACTACAATCGTGTAAGTGTAACTAATAGGAGAGCATAGGGGTGGGGATTATCTTCTCAATTTCTCTTAAAGCCGGACATTGCTCTAAAAGGCAGTCTGTTCCTTAAAAAGGGAAAAGGAAAACACGTTGACATTGATAGAACCCCAAGGAATGACTTCAATAACAAACACCCCAGGAGCATTTGGGTACTGAGGAGCCGTGCTGCTGTAAGCCCTCTAAACCCATTTAAAATTGTGTTTCAGCATGGACAGCGACGGGTCAATGACAATAGACTGGGATGAATGGAGAGACTTCTTCTTCCTCCACCCTGCAAAAAATATCAGCGAGATCATTCGTTTCTGGAAGCGTTCCACTGTAAGGTTACTCTGTTTTATTGTTTTTACTGTCATTTAAATGTTGTAGTTGTAAATATCATTACATAATCCCCATGATAGTTTTAGTCTCAATGACTAAAGATGTGTTATTTACTTTTAATGGTATTCTACTCATTTAGTAAGGGATGTTAATATTTTATGTGCAAACACAGAAGCCATGATTTGCTTGTGTTAACAATAGTGTTAATACGTGTAGTTGCTTCATCCTAGAAAAGGGAAAAATATCTGTTTTCCTTTCTTTTTTACACAGAAATAGACTGCCTTTTAGAGCAATGTCCGACTTTAAGAGGAATTGAGAGGATAATATAGACCGCTCTCTGTATCCCCATCCCTATGCTCTCCTATTATTCATATGCTCAAGTGGGTCATTCGGCATAGGCAATATAAAATTACATATTAAGATTTCAGAATTTAGAATAAAAAAGGAACAAATATACAAACTGTCTTCTCTTTTAATTAATTAATTATTTTTTTAAAGAAAACAAACTATCTTTTTTTCATTTTACATACCAATCCCAGTTCCCCCTCCCTCCCCCTCCTCCCATTCCCTCCACCTCCCCAATCCACCCCATCCACTCCTCAGAGAGTGTAAGGCACATTGTTTTGGGGAAGGTCCAAGGCCTTCCCTACTATATCTAGGCTGAGCAAGGTATCCATCCAAAGAGAATGGGTTCCCAAAAAGCCAAGTACAAGCAGTAGGGATAAATCCTATTGCTGCTGCTAGTGGTCCTACAGTCTGCCCAGCTCTACAACTGTCACCCACATTCAGAGGGACTAGCTTGGTCCTATGCTGGTTCCTTCCCTGTCCGGCTGGAGCTGGTGAGCTCCCATTAGCTCAGGCAAACTGTTCCAGTGGATGATCCCTTCATGGTCTTGATCTCTTTGCTCATATTCTTACTCTTCCCACTCTTCAACTGGACCTTGGGAGCTCAGCCCAGTGCTCCACTGTGGGTTTCTGCCTCTGTTTCCATCAGTTGCTGGACAAAGGTTCTATGGTGACATTTAAGATAGTCATCAATCTGATTATAGGGCAAGGGCAGTTTGGGCATCCTCTTTTCTATTGCTGAGGGTCTTAGCTGGGATCATCCTTGTGGATTCCTGGAAATTTCTTTAGTGTCAGGTTTCTTGTTAGCCCCACAATGGCTCCTCAGTCAAAATATCTCTTTAGTTGCTCTCATCTCTGTTCTTTCTCCATCTCGACTATCCTATTCTCTCAAGTTCTCCTACCCTCTTCCCTTCTCCCCTCTTCTTACCCTTCCAATCTCTCTTCTCCCCTCAACCCCATGCTCCCAATTTTGTCAGGCAATCTTGTCTATTTCCCCTTTCCAGGTGGATTTATATATGTTTTTCTTAGGGTTCACCTTGTTACTTAGCTTCTCTAGGATCATGGACTATTGGCTTGTTATCCTTTACTTTACAGCTAGTATCCACTTAGGAGTAAGTACATACCATGCTCATCTCTCTGGGTCTGGGTTAACTCACTCAGGATGTTTTTTCTAATTTCATCCATTTGCATGCAGATTTCAAGATGTCATTGTTTTCCCCTGCTGAGTAGTACTACAGTGTGTAAATGTACCGCATTTTCTTTATCCATTCTTTCATTGAGGGGCATCTAGGTTGTTTTCAGGTTCTAGCTATTACAAATAATGCTACTATGAACAACATAGTTGAACAAATGCCCTTGTAGTATGATTGAACATCCTTTGGGTATTTGCCCAAGAGTGGTATTGCTGGGTCCTGAGGTAGGTTGATTCCCAGTTTTCAGAGAAGCCTCCATACTAATTTCTAGAGTGTGTGTACAAGTTTGCATTCCCACAAGCAATGGTGGAGTGTTCTCCTTACTCCGCATTCTCTCCAGCATATGCTAACACTGGTGTTTTTGATCTTAGCCATTCTGACTGGTGCAAGATGGTATCTCAGAGTCATTTTGATTTGCATTTCCCTGATGGCTAAGGATGTTGAACATTTCCTTAAGTGTCTTTCAGTCATTTGAGGTTTATGATGTCATCTAGTCCAGAATTTCTCTGTTTAGTTTTTGTCTGGACGACTTGTCTGCTGGTGAGAGTGGAGTATCAAATCCACCCACTACCACTATGTGAGGGTCAGTATGTGATTTAAACTGTAGTAGCATTTCTTTTATGAACTTGGGTGTCCTTGTGTTTCATGCATAGATGTTAAGAATTGCAATGTTCTCTTGGTGTACTTAGCCTTTGAATATGTGGTGTCCTTCCCTATATTTCCTGATTTGTTTTGAAGTCTATTGTTGTTGTTTCCTCTAGCCCCATGTTGGAATGCCAAAATGTTGTTGGATTTTACTCTTTTATTCTTTTGGCTTTTTGGGGGGACCTGCCACCCAGCTCCCAAATAAATCACACATGCACACGGAGTCTTATTCTTTCTTATAAGTGCCTGGCCTTAGCTTTGTTGTAGGAGGTAGCTTGTTTGTTTCCTGGCTGCCCGGCGGCTCAGACCCAAAATAATCACACAGAAACTATATCATTTAAATCACTGCTTGACCCATTAGCTCTAGCTTCTTATTTGCTCTTAATTTAACCCATCTCCATTAATCTGTGCATCACCACGAGGTCATGGCCTACCAGCAAAGTTTCAGTGCGTCTGTCTCTGACAGTGGCTCCATGGCTTCTCCCTGACTCCGCATCCTTTCTCCCAGCATTCAGTTTAGTTTTCCCCACCTAGCTAAGTTCTGTCCTATCAAGGCAGTTTCTTTATTCACCAATGGTATTCACAGCATACAAAAGGGAATCCTGCATCATAGCTTGACTTGTTTCTAACCAGCTTTTCTTAAATTATCCAGTATACCTTTTGCCTCTGGGATTTTTCCTTTTCTTACTTCTGTATATCTCACTAAGAAATGATGGGTATTTCAAACTCTCGAACCCATCATAATTTTCTGCTTTCTAATCAGTAATTATCTAAACCCTTTAAAAAGATATCAGATCTAGTGTAAGTATGTGTGCTCACACAGTTTTCTCTTTGTACTGGATAGGTTCTGGAAAATGAACTCAGATCGTCAGGCTTGGTGGCCATCATCTTTATCTGTAGAGCCATTTCACTGACCGTCACCCCTTTATTTTATTTTAATTAATTAATTTTATTTTTTGTTTTCTTTTAGTTATTTTATTTTTTTTAAACATCTCTTTCCATGCCTACTTATAATCTTCTGGTTCTTAGAATAAGTAATATCTTCAAGCATACCAACATCCCTTTGGGTAATCCTTTCTTAAATAGAAAGATAGTATAATATGAATCCCTCTGAGATCTATAGAAAGATAGTATAATGTGATTGCCTCCGAGATCAGGATTCCTGGATTCAAACTGGTGCTTTGGGGCTTCTAGTTACTCTGACTATAAGGAATTCTTTTCTTTCATCTTAAATTTATAGTTTTTAATTTTTAAAATGCTTTTTAACTTTTATTAGTTCTTTGATACTTTATGCAATGTGTAGTGATCGTATTTCCCCCTCACTGAACTCTTCTGCCCACTCTGCTTTCCTTAACCACCCACCTCTGTCTCTGCTTTCTTAACTGATCAAGTCCAATTTGCGCCTCCAGTGTTTCTGCAGGATTTCCTTAGGACACTTTTATTTGTCGCCATTGTTGTTGTAGTTATTGCTCTGTATTGTCCTTGATTGTATCTTTTCCTATCTCTCTTATTCTAGAAATAAAAATAACAGAGCTCCGTAAATGCTAGAGGCAGAAACCAACTTCTCCATGACTGTCACTAACACAAAGCCCAGGGCCTGGCTTGTTGACACTTACTTCAGCAATGTTTATTGAGCACACTTATCTTCAGGAGCTAAGATCTAGGTTTCCAGCAGTACACAAGAGAGACCAGATTGTTGACTTTATTTGGATTACTTTGTAAAAGAGTAGCCAAGTAATAAACAGAAATAAGCTAATCAATCAAGATCGTGCTGTATTAGACAGGAAGCTATTGAGTAAAGAAGAACTCTTTGGGGGCAGAGGAAGATAATTTGAGAAGGTTCCTGAAAGAGCATTAATAGAATGAATAAATCCAAGTGGGGAGGCTAAGAAGAACAGTATCTTCTCTGTCACACCAACAGGATAGAATCTAAGTTTAGTTGGCATTCTTCACTGAAACATGGTGCTTTAACACTTAACAGTCTTCAGAAAATAAATTATGTTGCTAAAGATAAAATTATTAAATATAAATTCATTGTAATACACATATTTAAAGAGAAAATTGATCCACAAAAGATCACTGAGAAAAGTAAATCAGAGCATGTAAGATGTTAGTCCTGTCTCCTGACTTATTTATTCAAATCTATTCAGTATTTATTCCTCACCTAGTGTGTGGCAGACGCTGGGTAAGTGGCTCATTCCCTGCTCGCAGATTTACATTGTTTTCATGGAAGGGATTATTCAAATGGTTTGAGAATTATTTTAAATTAATAGCTAATTTAATGAAAATTTTATTTTAAAATAAAATTTTATTTTATTCAAAATCATCTGAGTCTAAGCATTAAGTGGTAAGCAAATTATCAATCTTCAGTATAGGAGCTGATTTAAAAAACCAAAGTTGAAGTTTTTGGTCTGCATGAAAAGTTTTTCTTGATCTTTGTAGAAAATTAAACTTTTATTTCTCAAGTGTTTACAGTTCACTGTCTAATTCTTTTACTTATCAGATAATTGACATGGGAGAGAGTATAAGTATTCCAGATGAATTCACAGAGCAAGAGAAGAGGTCTGGAGTATGGTGGAAGCGGCTAGTGGCAGCCGGAATAGCAAGTGCGATAACACGGACATGCACGGCACCTCTGGACCGCTTGAAGGTCTTGATGCAGGTACTTCTTGTGCCTTGAAGGGACATGGAACCCTGGATGACTAAGATGCTAATTTTAAATGTCTGTCAGATTTCATGGTATCTCTCATTGAATTTTATGCTTTCTTGACAATTTAAATTATTTTCTCTTTACTGTTAAAATATCTCTTCATTTTGTTCAAGAGGCTCCTATGGTGTTTGGAAAGATTAATCTTGAATGTCAGTTTTGGATTAAGCTGAGCCTAGCAGATTAGCAGAGCACTCACCCAGGTGGTCTCTCAGGGCATTTGCACAGGATTAACTGAGGAAGAGGAGTCACCTGATGGTGGGCAGCACCAGGGCATAGGCTGGGCCTCTGAGGAAGAGAAGGAAAAAGGGAGTAGCTGGCCAAGCAGACATTCCCTCTCTCTGCTCCCTGCCACAGAATGGGAATTCCACTGCTTTGCTGCCATGAATGAAACCTCTGAAGATGTCTTTCTGTGTGTGTGGCTGCTTGCTCATAATGGGAAAACGCTACCTAATACAATACTTGAATTAATTTTAACTTAAAGTAACAATAGATCCACCCTATTAGACTGTTTTTCAGAAGTATAACTAATCTATTCTCTAGTAATTAAAATTCATAATTATAATTCAATACTTGCTGAATTCTTTGCTATAAGAATATAAAAATCAAGAAACAATATAGTGAATTTAAATTTGTAATTAAAATGATATATCTGGGTATTTTATTGCCCCTTGTTGTTTTGGTGATATTAGTAACCTTTGGTGATGAGTTGTAGATAGTTATTATAGTATATTATGATAATCACATAAAATTGTAATGTTATCTAATTAATAACTTTGCAACTTATTCTTTAATTTTTTAAAATCCACTACTGTGCTTCAATGTTAAATTTATATGCCATTTTTAGAAAGTACAATGTGTTAGGAGGATATTATTTTGGATTATGGGAGCTTTATTTATTCATCCCATACCTATTAGGCAGACTATGTTATGTATTGGGTCTTTAATGGGCATTAAGTACTGTACACAGTTAGATACACTTTTTAACATTAGAGGAATTACAATACATCAGGGAAATATTTAATTAGATAATAAATGCTGAAATGCCGTTATATAACAACACAGAAAACACACTAGTACTATAGGAATACCAAGGGGGAATAGATACTATTTTATTTTTCCTTATTATTTCTCTGTAGTGAGATTTTATTTGTATTTTAATAAATAAACCTTGCCTAAAGACCAGAACGCAAAGCAGCCACACTAGTTCAGCTGTACAAATCAGGCAGTGGTGACACATATCTTTAATCCCAGCAGCCACCCTAGAGGTCAGGTGGTGGGGTGCACACCGCAGGATGAGACAGGAACTCGCTCTCTTTCAGTCTGAAGATTCCATAGAGGTAAGAGCTCTCTACTGGCTTGGCTGCTTTGCTTCTCTGATCTTAGGAACACCAATATCTGTCTCTGGGTTTTTATTATTTGTGCTACATTTCTCATATAGATCTAAAACAATATCTTGGTTAATTTATCCAATAGAAATAAAGGCTTTAGTTTAATCATCTAAGTATGGGGAATATAGTTTAGTACGTGTTAATAGGACAAGTAACCCATTATCCTTCTGCATCCTTGATTCCATGGCCAGGAAGCTAAGTTTGGACAATTGTTAGGAAAGACAGAATTGAAAATGTTCTGTTACACATTAAAGTAGAAAACCCAGTTTCTCCAGTACCTGGGTTTGAAAGAAAATTTTAAAAATTACGTGTAAAGGAAAAAATATGGACATGCACAGTGCAACACAGAAGAGACATGTCGATCTGTGACAGAGATGGGAATAGGGCCAAGGGGGAAAATTAAGAAGAAAATGGTCTTGTGTGCTTATTACATGTTAGGTGCTAGAAATGCAAAGATGAAAGAGCATAGTTCTTATTTTCTGAACATTACAGACCTATAACTCTGTGATGATAAGATATTGAAAATAGCAGTTGTCACTTGAGAGGTTTTGCTTCATACACCATGGGAAAGAATATTGTAGGTACACCCAGGGAGGGGTGATTAGATCTCTAAGGCTCATTGGGTTAGGAGGGTGGAAAAGCATGCAGCCGCATTTGCAGTGAAAGTGTTTGCTGGACATGATGGGCTGCTGCACAAGACCTGCCTAAGATCAAGCCAGCCAAAACCATAGCATGGGCAGGGCAGGCTCCTACCTCTGAGGAGTCGTTGGCAATTGATGGCTGCTGTGAGAAGAACAGTCAGCTTTCTCCAAGGAAGGAGCCCCTGAGAGGAGGTGGTCCTAGACCCATGGGCACACATGCAGCATCAAGTGGACATGGTGGATTAGAAATCACAGGAAGTTGAGAGGGAAGGTAATCCAGGGGATGGGGAGGAGGAGAAGGGGCTGAAATGATCAGGACACATTATGCATGCATTATTATCAAACAAAGAAATCTCGGATTAAAAATATAGATCAAATGTGGGATAATGGAAAGAATAAAAAAAGGGAAGAAATAAAGCCGAGAGTAGGAAAAGGATGTGAAAAAGGAAGAATAGAGACTATGGAGGGAGAGTAGGTAAGAAGTGAATTAAAGCCAGGTGTGATGACACGTGCCTGTAGTCTCAGCGCTTAGGAAGTGGAGGCAGGAGAGGCAGGAGTCTAAGGTCACCCTCAGTTACATAGCAAAGTTCAGGCCAGACCCTGTCTTTCCAACTCTCTGTCTCTCTCATGCACACATATTTTTTAATCCATAAAATGACAGGAACATTGAAGGTAGACATACAATTTCTGACCTGTAATTTCCACCACTCCCTTTGTTAGGAATTAAGTAACAAAGTGCCACGACCTGGCATGAAATCAGAAACGTATTGTTGTAGTTCTGGAGGAGGGTGCTCAGGAAGTGCTCCTGGTGCCTCTCCTTGACTTGGATTAGGCCATCTTCCCCGTCACTTCATATTGCCTTCCTTCTTGGTGTGCTATGTCTCTATGTCCAAATTTTCCTTTTATAAGGATAAAGGTCTTATTAGATCAGCCTGATTAATCTGCAAAGGCCCCCTCCAAGTAGGACCAGAACTTGAAGGAATAGGAGTTAGGGCGTCAACATATTTGAGAGCTACAATCCAATCCACAATGCCCGGAAGCCTCCATGTATTCATCACTGGAAGTTTGATGTATTTTTCATCCAATTCTGTTTTCAATGCACATTTCAGTGTGCTCTGTAATAATCTCAGGGTATTTTTGGTAACAGGCACATACTTTGCTCATGCTAAGGGTCTCTGATAATTGAATTAGAATTCTGTCTTCCATAAATTGTCTTTATTTTTCTTCGATGTTTTAGATTACAGTAGTTCCTGTCTCTGGGGGAAGTTTTCCCATCGGTTACCTTACACTGTAGATAACACTAAACCCTTGAATGCTGTATGTTATCCTATACATATATACACATAATAAAGTTTAATTTATAAATTAAGCATAAGAAGAGATTACCAACATCAATACTAAAGTGTGACAATCATAATACTATACCCTAATGCAAGTTATGGGACTTTCATCCTCTCACTGAAGAAAGCCCTTTGTGCTGCCTCTGGCATATGCACATTGCAAGCATCACTACTGCTGAGAGTTGGAGCCTTAATGGAGTGAAGTAAGGGATACTTGAATATATGCACTATGGTAATACTGTAGCTGTAGTCTGATAACGGAGATAGCTCCTAACTGATTATTGGCTAGTTCGAATATACCCCATGGATGCACTGCACACAGGTGTATCTGCAAGGCAAGGTGGAGTTAAATTGTGGGTGATTTCATCATCTATGCTGAGCAGCCTGCAATTTAAAACACGTGAAATGTTTGTTTCTGTGATTTTGCTTTCTTCAAAACATAGGATGCAAAACAGTGGATGTGTGATTGGAGGCAAGAAAAACAGTAACATTGCTTTTATGTGACTGCAGAAAAATTAAACTGCTCTTGAAAGTTACGAATTCTGTAGATTTAGTTATTTCACCAGCAATGAAGTAATTTTATATTAGCAGCAAAATAAATGTAAATAACCTTGCCACTTATTTCTAGGTTCGTCATTCAAAAGTCAGTAAAATGGGATTGGTGAATGAGTTCAAGCAGATGATAAAGGAAGGCGGCCTTTTCTCTCTGTGGCGAGGAAACGGTGTGAACGTCTTTAAAATTGCACCGGAGACAGCACTCAAGATCGGGGCCTATGAACAGGTGAGGTGTTATTGACTATGGGGTTTTTAAATGATCATGCTTGAAATTTGGTTTTTGAAAAGTTTAGACTTTTGTGAAAGAGAACACAAGTGTATGTAAGCAATAGTTGTTGGTGCAAATATTACTGATTTTTATTTCCATTTGGTCACCTTTGTGCTTTCTGATTACTATCAGAGTGCCTCTGTAGGCTACATTGTGTTATTTTAGCAGGCCTGTGACTAGTTCTTTCAAGTTAATTGTCACAGCATAAGAGGCTCATAATTTTTTTCTTAGAACAATTTGAATGTTTTTCAGAGATTTCAGTTCATTTGTTAATGAATCAAAAATTAATCTTCCTATTTAGTGAAGACAAAGTTGAGAAACATGCACTGAATTTCAAAATTTTTTAATCTTATTTAGACTTTTGCTTTTCATTAAATAATTTACTTTGAGACAGGACAATATCAGTTTTCAGATATTGAAGTTTACTTGGGTTTCATAAGAGTCTAAGGATGCTTTCTATGCCTCTCAAGCTTTTTTTCTTTATTGTAAATTTTAGAATAATTCTCTCCTCTTTTAAGTAAATGTTTAGCTATAGGATGAAAGTGCTTCTTTTGTAGGGCCTTTTCTTCATGGTCCTAGAGCCTTAATGTTGTGTGAAAACACGAAAGATTGGTGCTGTCCTTTCTTAGGGCGGATGGCTGAAGAGCAAGCAATACATGAGAAGGACACTGGACTGGTTTGATGCTTGTCGTTAGAACACACAGCTCTTCCTAGAGTGGGGATTTGCTGATCCATCCGATGATACTGTTTTTAATCAGCTAGTGTACACCTCATCTGTTAAAGACCTTTTCTAGGTGATAGAAATGTAACAAACAAAAACTAACACAAAGGATTCCATCTATCTTTGTGGATTTAAAAACAACAACAATGAATGAATGAATGGTACGTCAGGTGTTATCAGTGGTTACTAGGAAAATAGAGGAGCAAGGCTGGGAACTCTTTCAAGGAGTTTGGCCATGAAAAGTAGAAGGGGAATGGAGTGGGAACCAGAGGGATAATGAGCCCAAAGAGGGGGGTTCCTATCACTGGAAAAAGCCGGTGCTTCTAAAGTGACCCAGTGAGGAGGACACTACAGAGCCCAGAGCGGGTATGCGAAGTGATTGTCCTCAGAAGGAGCAGAACTGTGGTAAGAGACTGGAGCTGGTGCTCAGGAAGACTTGGAGTTGCCAGACCCTTCAACCGCAGTCCCGGGAGAAGCACAGCTGAGCAGGTCCAACTATACGCGGGTTTCTCGTAACTTTCTTCTCAATGCTTCAGTTTCTTTGGTTAAAAGGGGGAGGAAAGGCTTGGAAGTAGAGTTAAGAATGGTCTTAAGCACCCAAGTGGTTCCTGGGAACTGAACCCAGGTCCTCTGCAAGAACAGCAAGTGCTCTTAACCACTGAACCATCTCTCCACTTCCACCCTAATTCTTATATCTGGTTAACACGGGTGGTCTGTAGGCTAACTCCCAAGAGTCCTTATAAGCTTTCCTGTCCTAGTCTTCCTTACTACACTCCTTGTAACAAAATGGCCTATTATGTTGTTCTAATTATCTAGTCAGCAAACACACTGTCTTCTGTGTATAAAGCAGAGTGCTAAAAAGAAATAGAAACACAACTTCTGTTTATGTTATTTGCATGCTCCTTATGATATAACACATTCAGGAATAGACTTAGGTAATTTAATGTAGCTATTGAACTATTCCATAGGAAAAAATAAGAGAGCTGAATAGAGGGCTTTAACTTATCTATTAAACAGGAACTAAAATTTAGTATTGTACTAGGTTGTGTTAATATTCAGCACCTGATGTATATTTTAATGTAATTTTATACTTTTAAATACTGTTATAAAACTTGAAAGGCATATATTTCAGTAATACTATATATTTCAACATTTTTATTTATACAGTATAAGAAACTTCTTAGTTTTGATGATGCTAATTTAGGAGTTCTTCAAAGATTTATAGCTGGCTCCATGGCTGGTGCAACTTCCCAAACCTGTATTTATCCCATAGAGGTATGTATTATTATAACATTTTAATAAAAATCATGCTTTTATTGCAACTAACAATCAGAAATGACTTCCAGTTCATTATAATAACTTTGTAAGATTTGAATCCTGTATAAAGTATCAGTCTCAATATACTTTGCTTTCTTTAAGACAAATGGTATTATAGATAGACCAAGAAAATACATTTATCTGTTTATCACTTGGTAGGTAAATATGAATTGTATGCATGCTAAACTTGTGATATTCTGCTGTGTGCCATGTAGGATCCAAGGGAGAATCAGGTGGGGATTTTGATCATGTATTCCATGATATATAAGGGAAAATTAAACATATAAATTCATATCAATGATCCAAATTGAAAAAAGTTGTAGAAGACAGCTCATTATATAGTGCTATGGGAACTCAAAGGGGAGAATTTATTTATTTCTAGTTAAGAATTCCATGAGAGACATGAAGAGAAAGTGTGACCACAGCATCGGCTTTGAACATGAGGTTAGGAAGAAAGTAACCCATTTAACAAAGGAAAGGAAGTTTTAATAAACAGACACTTAGCCTTAGACTGTTCATTTGTTTGGAGTGTTTTTATCATTGTTGTTTGTGTTTGGTTATTTGATACAGTATCTCACTCTATAGCCCAAATTGTCCTGGACATCACTATTCAGCCCAGGCTAACATGGAGTTTATGGCAATTCCCTTGTCCTTGTCTCCTGAGTGTTGAGATTACAGGCATAAGCCACCAGGGATTCTATGATTTCTGTAAAATTTGTGTGATATAACAGACCTCACAAGATTGCTACACAAGTCCAGCGAATCTAATCAATACGCCTTTATTATATTCTTTCCCACCCAGGTGATAAAGACCAGGCTGATTTTAGGTAAAACTGGCGAATATTCTGGGGTTGTTGATTGTTGCAGGAAGCTTCTGAAGACAGAGGGCATTCAGGCCTTTGGCAAAGGCTATGTTCCCAACCTGATAGGTATCATACCATATGCAGGCTTAGATCTTGCCATCTTTGAGGTGAGTTCATTTTTGACATATGTCATTATGCATTGTATTTGACAATGTTACACAAGATTTTTATTCTGAAATATAGATATGGTGTTGAATGAAATAGCTTCTGATTAAGAATCAAATTGAGTGTTTTTATTTGCCTTTCTCTTAGACATCTGGTAATCTAGTCATTTTTGCTTTTTTTTATTTCCAATAAAATGGTAGTTTTAAGCCTTGGGTGTGTATCAGAATCACTTACTTGTAGATCATTAAAAGAATAGACCCCCTTGGTCACATCCTGAGGTATTCTGATTTAATTATCGCAAGAAGGCCTGGTGTAGTTGGAATTTACTTTGGGCCACCAACCAGCTCACAAATAAAGATATGGAGACTTATTAATTGTGAATGCTGGGCCTTAACTTAGGCTTGTCTCACTAGATCTTTTAACTTAATTTAACCTGTTGATTTAATTAGTTTAACTACATTTATTTATATTTTTCCTCAGAGATTTTTTTTTTAACCTTTCATTCTGTATACCCTGCTCTTCTGCTTGCTCCATGTCTGTCTGTCTGGCCCTAGGCATCTCCCTGGCATCTATTTTTCTTTCTTCCTTCCCAAGCCTAAATTCCTTCTCCTACTTACTCTCCTTGCCTGTAAGTCCCACCTATAGTTCCTTCCTTGCTATTGGCTATTCAGCTTTTTATTAAACCAATCAGGTGCCTTAGGCAGGCAGGTAGAACAGCAACACATCTTTCCATAATTAAACAAGCGCAACACATCTTCTTGACATCACTAAACAAATACTCCACAGCTTAAACAAATGTAACACATCTTTCCATAGCTAAACAAATGCACCACATCTTTGCATAGTTAAACAGATAATCCATAATAGCCTGGGATTTGGATTTCCTAACTGCCCAGAAGAATCTGATGCACAGGTAAGGTTGAGAAAACAGAACTTTTCTTGCATGGTTGTAAAGATTAGAATCAAGGAAGAAAATAAACATGGGTTAAACATGAGAGCCAGCCTAGAAATGAAACCTTGACCCTGGTACAGTATTACCAGGCAGGGTCACGGGCATTTCATGGTCAAGCCCATGCATCTGTCTCAGGACAGATCTGACACTGGCATAAAAACAGTATTGTGTTAGTTCCTGTGAGAATATTCAGAATTTTTGCTCTGGTCTTTAAAACCAAAACAATCAAAGGAAAACAAAAGCAAAGCCAGGCAAAACCGCATAAGAAACATAGCCATCCAAATGCAGAGCAAGCTCAGCTGCTAAACTTTATTCTACTCAGAGCTGCAAGGTCAAAGGTCCTCTCTCCTTCACCAGCTTCTGAAGAATTACTGGCTGGAACACTGCTCAGAAAAGTCTGTGAACCCTGGCATAGCCATCGTGCTGGGCTGCAGCACACTGTCGCACACTTGTGGCCAGCTAGCCAGTTTCCCCCTGAACCTTCTTAGGACTCGCATGCAGGCAGGTGAGTTTTCTATTGTTTTAGATTAGTGAAGTCACTAAGGTAAGAGATATGTTTGAAATAAGTTTGAGTTGATGATTTTAAAGGCAGAAAACCCATAGAATTGACGAATAGAGGAAAAGCTAACCTATTTAAAAGATTAGATCTGAATTTATTATTATTTTAAAGATTTATTTGTTTTATTTTATGTGTATGAGTGTGTTGCTTACATGTATCTACATATACTACGTAAGTGCAGTGGCTGAAGCAGCCAGAAGAGGGCAATAGAGCTCTAGGAGCTGGAGTTGTAGCTGTGTGCAGCCATGTGGGTCCTGGGCACTGAACCTGGGTTCTCTGAAAGAGCCATCTCTCTTGGAACCTTTTGTAAGTTTCAGTTATTTTTTTCCCTTCGAAGTTCTGTCTGGGGCCCTCCACATCTGCTCCAGTTACTGATGGTCTCTTTAAGACTTTACTTAGGAAGTGCCCTGTGGAACAATGGAAAAGGTTTCTTTGTTCACGTCAAACCAGAGTCCAGTCCACAGAGGCAGTCTCTCTCCTTGGTTTGCTACCACTGCTGTAAGTTGGTTTTGAACTCTGTACTTCAGTCTGCTCAGGGAGTTGATATTAAGCACAGTGTGTTTTCTTTTTCTTGGTGAAATGTTAGAGATTTAGATTTTAACAAATAAAAATCACTTTTTGAAGATGAAAAGGCAGCACAATGCTATTACCTTCTTGAGTGTATTAAGGGGTCTCGCAGTGGGTAATATGCTTTGACTTTTTCCTTCTCCCCATCTTTCTCAGTGAGGCTTTGGGTACAACTTATATTGCAATTGAGATGGAGAATTTCTCTGTCCAGTATCACTCATGCCTTTTTCTATTAAACTGCCCTTCAGTCCCCTTTCCAATTGAATCTGTGAAATGTCTCATAAAAGATTTGCAAGTTGTTGTAGGGACCTTCTGTAGTGATGAAATCATCTACATCTCTACTGCCCAGATATAGTGACTACCAGACATGGGAAATGTACTAATATGACTGAGCAGAAATTTAAGTTTACTTAAATAGCCACATGTGTAGTTACTACCCTATTGAGCAACATTGGATCATTCTATATATGAGTATCCTCTGAAATGATCGCAATTTCTATAAATTCCCATTACCTTTGGGCTAGATTACTATGTAAATATTAAATATTGAATTATACTGTGCTTTAAAATTTATAGCTATCATGGAAAAGGAAAAAATACCTATGTTTCAGCTCATTCAAGAAATATACACTAAAGAAGGAAAGAGGGGATTTTTCCGTGGTCTCACCCCTAACTTCATCAAGCTGCTTCCTGCAGTGGGCATCGGCTGCGTGGCTAATGAACTGGTGAAACTGTTCTTTGGACTAACCTAGAAGTGCAAGGTCAAGCTGCTGCCGTGCTGTAAGCACTACGGTATAAGATAATCCTGGGCTATAAGGTGACCTTACTTTTTCCTGAAAGGAAAGAAATATTAACTAATTGTAAAATTACTTTGTCTTTATTTATTATAAAATATACAAATTAAATAATAACTTTGATAGAGTTCTTTAATAACTTAAACTCCTTTATTATCCACAGAATTCTTATTTTATACTTCCTGTTACATTCTCCTTAATTCTAAAACCAGGTTTTGAATGGGTGCTAATATATCATACGGTCACATAGGAAACATTTGGTAAGCTATGAGAATTTTCACTAGCATTCTCTTTTTAAGTTAAGCTCGAACATGTTTTACACAGTAAAGCAAAAATCAGTGCATTTAAATTTGACATTAGAGTTAATCCCCTCAGCAGAATGGATAATCCACTTCATAATTCCTTCTAGATTGTTGTCGATTTGTTGTTTCCCTTGCTAGCCCTTTGTCCCTTCAGCTTCTGCACATCCCATCCCACTCACCCCCCTGGAGATGGTTTTATCCTTCTAGACATCTTTGTAGACAGAACTGCCTCCATTACCTAGCCTGGGGGATCCCTGTCTATGTGGGTTCCATAAACCTTGAGAATGAAAAGCTGGCTAGCATTTCTTAATTGTACCCGTTTGTGTCCTCAAAAGTCCCTACTCACTTCAGCCATCTCAGGTGATCCAACTGAACCAGTTGCTGGAACTGGAGAGGGGTGGGGCCTAAGTGTAAGACTCAGAGCTTTATCCCCAAAGTTCCTTTTCTGAGTCATTGCTTTTTATTTGCACAGTGAGTGGGAGCACCAGGGGTCATAAAATTGACTGAGCAACAATGCTATTATGGGCTTACATTTCAATTTTAAATAAGCTGTCTACTGATGGAACTCTGTTAATAGTTGGTTAGTTCTGGTTTCATTTTTAACTTCACTAGCAAATATCAATTGTATAAAATGCCCGGGTTTACTGTTTCAGTTTCCTACATCATGCTATGTACTCTGATCACATTCAACAATAAACTCGGTTAAAAAGTGAGCAAAGGTCTTGAGTAGACATTTCCCCAAAGAAATTATTATAGAAATGACGCAATTATTTTGTGCAAAGAAAAGCAACTTGACATTCCTGACCACAGGGAAAGCAAATTAAAACCTAAATGAAATCCCATTTTACATCACCGTGATGGCTGTTATTGAGAAAATCTAAGAGAACAGCAAGTTCTAGTGAGGATGCGGAGAAACTAGAGCCCTGTGCACTGTTGGCGGAGCACAGTGCCACTGCCGTGGAGGACGGTTCCCCCAAAAGAAGGATGGTTGTGTCATCTTATCCTGTTTCAAAAACAGTTCAAAGCAGGGGCTCAAGGACCTGCTTGCTTATCTATACTCAGAGCAGCATTGTTTGCAATAATGTGCAGGCAACCTGGTAGTCATGTACAGCTGAATAAACTATGGCACATGCATGTAATGGAATGCTATTTCTCTCTTTAAAAGAAAATCTTGATACACATTTCAATATGGATGAACCTGGAGGATATTATACTAAGTGAAATAAATTTGTTACAAAGTATAAACACTGTGTGTTCACTTATATAAGGTACCAAGAGTGATTAGGTTCATGGAGGCAGGTGGAATGGTGGCTACCCGTGGCTTGGAAGAGAGAGGTGGCAACTGGACGTACAGATGGCTGTGAGCTGCCACACCCAGGTCCTCTGGAAGAGCAAACAGTGCGCTCAACTGCTAAGCTGTATTTCCAGCCTCTGACCCAAATTGCTGATAGTGTTAAACTCCTTTAGGGATGAGCACATTGCTTTCTGTCTCTCTGGACTAGCTCCCTGGGCAGGGACTTTGGCTAGGTTTCTTCTTTGTTGTCTCTCCTATTTGGAGGTCTTTGGGTGATACTTAGCAGACATTCAGTGAATGAGCAACATACACTGGAAGGGACATCTGCTTACACCGGTTTTATATTCGGTTGAAGGCAAGGGTTATTATTCCATCTCTTGTTAGCAGCCTTTTTCCAACCTTAACTACAGCTTTTCTTCTTAGAATGTTGATTATTATTACAATAGTACCTAACTCTAAGATGATTCAGGGAAGTTGTTCATATAAAATAATTAATGTTATTGTACTTCTTTCTCTTACCTTTTATGTGTTCTTGCATGTGTGTTTACATGTGTGGGTGTGCATGTGGAGGCCAAAAGGCAACATTAGGTATCTTCCTTAATCATTCCCCACCTTATTGAAATTTTTATTAGATTGTATGTGTGTGTACACGTGTGCGTGCCCAAATGACAAGGCATGTGTCACTTGCTGGGGGTCAGTTCTTTCTTCTCATCCTATGGGTCCCAAGGAATGAACTCAGGTCACCAGGATTAACAACAGGTGTCTTTACTTGCTGAGCCATCGCCAGGACTCTCCACCATATTTTTTTTGAGACAGAGTCATAAACCTGGAGCTAGCCTATTCATGCAAGATTTGCAAGATTGGCAGGTAGCAAGCCGAGAGATGCCCTGTCTCTGCCTTACAGCACTGGGTTATAGGTGTGCTCTGCCATTTATTTATTTATTTATTTATTTATTTATTTATTTATTAGTCAATGCGGGTGCCTGGGGATTGAACTCAGCTCCTCATGCTTAGAAGGCAAACATTTTACTGACTGGGACATCCTCCCAGCACTCCTCACCCCTAATCCTGTATTACCTTGTAACTTAATGTGCTATTAATTTACCTTCTAAAGCAGCAACACTTCCTAGGAGCTTACCCTGCATCACTGTCCTGGACTGTGATGAAACTCTAGCCAAGAGTTGCCTTTTCCCTCTTCTGTCATTGTTTCTGGCTCAAGCACAGTCAGGCCAAGTCCTGGCTACTCCCAGTGACTCTTTGAACCTTCTCTCCCTCTGGAGAGAAGGGGGGCAGGTTTGAGAGTTAGGCAGTAAACACAGCTGAGCGTGTCTCTGAATAAGAAGATGATGGTTGCAGTGCCCCGCGTCTGCAGAGTCATCTCATCCACTGGGTGTTGCTCCCGGGTCTTCAAGGAGAAAGGCAACAACTAGCTTGGTCAAAGTGCAGGGTGTCTTAGAGAGTGTTTTATACGGGGCAAGGCTGGAACCTGTGTGAGCTTTTTCAGTAGAAAATATTCCACAGGTGGGTAAGAAAATATCAATCATTGTATGTCCACTCTGTACATCAAGCCTTGCCTTCAATGCTTGTGTGGAATACTTCTAACATAAAAATGAAGAAATGTATTTGGAAAGTTGAGTTTGTTCTTCATGACTGATAGAAGATTCAGGAAAGTTAACTTATACAGAGGCTTAGTGAAACCAGCTTAATTCAGCCTGTGATATTAGGCGAAGGATGGATCACGTGGCACACCCTCAGGGGCCCCATCCTTTTCCCGCACAGACTCTGGGTGTATGTATAGAACAGCCTCTGCCTTCGCTCACCCCTCCCTGCCAGCTTCCCGGTCAAATCCCAGCCTCCTTGCTAGGATGCCAGCAGCATCACTGGAGACTGTCATGGGGGGAATGCAGGAGTTTTCTGCTGTAACCTCATTCCTGGCCACCAACATCAGCGACAGTGTTTCTTCCTTCCCCATTGGCTGGGTGGCTTTTCCTATATCACACTGCTGACCTCGTGAAAGTGTTATGTAAATCATGGGTTGTTTCTGTTCTGCTCACTAGGATTTGGTTTTACCTAGTTTGCTCCTGAGAAGGAAAATGTGTTACAAGGAAACCCATTTTAGAAGGAAAGGAACTTTTTTTTTTTTTTTAAAAAAAAAGAATATTGGGACTTTCTTTGTTTCAAAAGCCAGTTTGCAAGCCCATGTAACATAGTAAAGAAGCAGCCTATGTATTCTCATGAACAGATTCCATCTGGATTTCACCTGCTCTCCAAATGACAGCCTTTCCGGCCACATGCTGAACTTCTCTTTTTTCTGGTCTTCTTCAACCAAGAACATTGTTTCAGTCATCCCCCAGCTTTCACTGTCTTTGCAGATCTAAAGGTTACAGACTGTAGAATATTCTGTTTTGGTTTTATCTGACGTGTCCTCGTGACGGCATTCTCCAGGTTGTTCTCCTGTATGGAGCCACTCACTCAATCCAACCAGGCATCCTGCTCAACCCCCTTTGATTCCTGCCACACAGCTTGTGCCACTCAGACCTGCCTGGCCGCTCCTCACTTATAAGGAAGATAGGAAAGGAAAAGGAAGGAGGGGGTGGAGAGAGGGAAGTAAAGACAGAGGCATGGATGAATAGAGATGGCGAGAGGAGGGGAGGAAGCACAGAGGGAAGAGGGACCATCGGTGTTTATATATGAAGTAGAAATATACAAAACTGGTCAATTATCTGTAATACTGTTATTAAAAAGGTTCAGATAATTTACACTAAATGTATAGTTCTCAGGACATAGTTCAAATGAATGCTGAAACATTGGTGTTTTAGCAAAGCCATTACAATTCTATTATTTAAAACAATTACAGTTATTTTAAAATGTGAAGTATTCACATGATTTAGTAAGGGTGGTGATTTTAGTAATTTAGTGCCGTCTTTGCACAATTGGGACTTGTTGGCATTTCTTTTGGGCATGGTATGGGTTGGTAGATAGTCTGGACAAGAGTCAGAATTCATTAATCTTTTAACCTGGAATTCTGACTTCTAAATGACTTAGAGAATATGATAGATTTCCAATTAGCTCAATGTGATATGAAATAGCCTAAACCTAAAGTGATTATCTCCTTGCTGCATTGCCAGGACATCCAGGCTCATGTTTTGCTGCATATAAGAATCACCTTTCCTGTGATGTAGCTGTGTGGTGGAGCTGCGAACACAGGATAGAATGGGTCCTCCTGAAGCGGCTGATTTGTCTTTATCAGGACAATCCATAGCTATTAATAAGAACAAACATGTTTACCAGGCTCTAGAGTGGTTACCACTCCAAGGAATTCAAGATAGATGCTGAAGTCTTCAAGGACCAAAATTGATGAAATCCAAAAAAGACTGCTGTTTCTATGGAAATAAAAGGC